CTGACAAACTAGCTACCTTCAGAGAGTTAAAGCCATTCAGTTGATAAGATGTCAACAATGTAACTCTCGTTGTACAGCTGTAAGCCACAGATATTCTGGCACACACACAAAAAAAAAATGATCACTGCCTGCAGATGAATTGCGTGTCATTGGACCAGTTTATGGCCGCGAGCAAGGACGCGGTTTTTAGCTTAAGCATTAGCTTTAAGTTAGAAGATTGACAAGATAGACGGCTAAAGTTCCTCCCCCGGGAGTGAATGGGCTGACCACGGGTATAGTTTATGTAACGTTTGCAGGTTAACCAGCTGAGGGCGACGAGGAAATAAGACTGACTACAAATGGATTCATGCCATAAAATCATTTGTTTATTTCGGGCTGTAGTCTGTGAAGAGATTTTTAAGAAGTGAAGCAGAAGTGTGTCTCGTTAGCTGTCAAACTCTCGCCCCCGTCCTGGCTGCAGCGCTGGCCTAGGAAGCTAGCAGCAAGCTAGCTATAGCTAGCTGCACGCCTAGCTGGCTCATCTTCCAAAGTAAGTGTTTACTCTCATTAATACTTCACTGACAGCTCTGGGTTCTCTAAGTGCACGAACGTAAACATGTAACGCTGGCTGGTTAAGTCGCTGAGATATATATTCGTAACGTATTCTCGTTATTGTAACGATAACAACGTTAGCTCACTCATATGGAACCGCCTTGATGAGTCTGATCTGCAGCTAAGTCTCTTGATATTTGTGCTGGATATGTTCAGTTTAAACGTCGATTTTTGGGGATAGCACGTACCCCTCAGATGAGCACTGAACATGCCATGACAACAAGCAGCGTCCACAAACTGTTGCATGTTTCCCTTCAGGTCATATTCACAAGACTCTAAATGCAAGATTTAAAAAATGAGATGTACCTATTTTCTGCTCCTGAAATTCAGAATATAGATTATGCATTTTGGAGCATCCCAGGAGACAGTTGGTGTAAAGACCAGTCTAAAATGACATGAGGTGTATTGTTGCCTCAGGTATATTGTTTAGCAGAAGTTAAGAGAATGTCATATGTGTCGTATCCTCTTTCTTTACGTGGGAAATGTTACATGAAGGATGCTGCTGGATATTTAAGTGTTTCTTTGCTCACCGACCAATACACATATAAGTGCCGAATGGATTAGACCAGTTTTGATGAGCTATTGATAGTTTGTCACACACCAAGTACAATGCTGACCTTTCACTATGTTCAGTTCCTCAAATGTAAGGATTTGCTGTTTCTCTCTTGTTTTTGATTTTGTGTGTCTTGAAGCTCCTTTTTGTAGGCTGTTGCAATCCCTTTGTGGCTCCGAGACACTGACATAGTATAGACTACACCCTCAGTGGATTGGTCAAATACGTAATTGATAATAACAATAATCATAGTGATGTGTTGTGATTTGTTTCTAGTATGAGTCAAGGTGTATGTCATTCATTACAACACAGTATAATAACACAGTAGTATTAATGGCATGAGTATTTACCACTCCCTCAAGTCAATATTTAGAGGCGGCACCTTTGGCAGCAACTACAGTCACAGCTTTGCACATCTGGATGCTACAAAAACATTTATAACCACACATGCATGACTGGTGAAGTACCTGATGGATCAGAGTTGACATCTTGGTGACTTCCCCCAAAAGTGTTCTTTTGCACAAAGTCCTGTAAAAACATGAAAAAGGTGAATGGATAGTTGTTTTTTACAACAATAACATAATTCATGACTTCCTTGTCTTTATTATGCAACAACAGACCTCATTTCAGTCACTTGAATTTAGTTACATTATTAATACTGAAAAAAGTATGCATGGTGGGCTGATTACATATAGAAACAAGGACAGGACCCCAGCACTATCATAGCCTGTGTGTGCTAGATTATGATCCTGGAAGAAATATAACACCCATAATTCAGTCCTCAGTGATATAATACTGTCTTTGAGGGAAGGGGAGTAGGGGTGGGCTGAAAACCCTAACCAGTTAGAAGTGTGTATAGATTATTTTGCATTTAAACCTAAGTAGCCTAATAAATGAGAAAATTATACATTTTAAACTTGATAAGCTGCCCTGAAAAATGTCATGCAACAGGGCTGAATTCTCAATACTCTGTTTACAGTGAAACTGTATTTCGTAACTCTCACAGAGAGCTGCCTATTTTAGAATTAGATTTGCAAATTGTGTGACCTTCCAGAGAGTGGCTCCTCTGCCCTGCAGCTTTATGTGACTTTGGAATTTTGATAACGGTTCAAGCTAACCTAGCTGATCACACTAAAACAAGAAGCCGTTGTTCTTTCTGCTGACATTTTAGCATTTATCTGATTGAAGGTTTCGTGTTGTTGATGGCCTCCCTGCCAGCCATGGACGCTGTGACTGACACGTGCCCTGCGGTGCACCAAAATGGGATTGCCCATCGGGAATCTCAAAACACAAGGCCAGCTGCTGCTGCTGCTGTTCTGAAGCTTCATTTCTACCACAGCAGCCAAGGAACGGCCAACCGCAGCTTCCTCAGCTACCCACCGGGGGACTATGTGGCCGAGGAGCTGTGTATGGATGCGGCCACGGCATGCAGTGAGTAATCGAACCATGCAAGACTGCATGATGCACACACACACACTCATGTGTTTCGCTGTAACCCGGAGCATAGGTCCTGAGATAAGGTTATCAAGAGGCCACAGTGAAACCTAAAAATCGTTGGCTTGTTCAATATTCTCAATGCTTTATTTACAGTTTGTCTAGCTTTACTGACTTTGTTCCAATGACAACATATGGTAGTTTGGCTGTGCTTAGTGTTTTTTGTTTGTTTTAGTTTTTTTTTTTTTTGTTGCACTAGTTCAATTTAAGAGTCAATAAAAGTATGATGCAACTAATACACAGATCAGGGCTAGACTAACCTGCATGTTGATGGAGTCGCATGATATGTGTTTGATGATAAACCAAACACAATTGACATTTTAGACAATCTTTATTGACCTTTTGGTCAGCTGTGTTGGTACTTCAAACATAGTTTTCTAGTGTGTGTCTTAAAGCATAATATACGATGTGCTTTTCTGAGTTTCCCCTAAATTTACACCATTTGTACAGGAATAATGTAATTTCTTTGTCCACTTAATTTATGTAGATGAACAAGAAACCTTGATTTAGATCAAGCGAGTAATACACAGTATAGCTACCCTGTTCTGCTTCAGAGAATTCAATGGACTGCAAGTTTCGAGAACATAATCTGGTGTCTCATTCTTTGTCTGCTTTAGGTATTTCACCACTGTACTGCAACCTTTTTGGTCTCTTCCGAGATCGAGACAGCTTGTGGTTTTCACCCAACCACATCTTTCAGCTTGACGAACTGGCCTCTGAAGATGTGTTTTTCAGAATAAGGTAGCATTCATTTTGTTGTTGTCTGTTTACGTCTTAAGTAACTTCTTCTTCTTACTTACTGCGTTTCCTTTATTATTGTTTACCACAGGTACTACTTCCCTGGCTGGTACAGCGGTGGGGCATCCAGAGCATATCGATATGGGGTTTCCAAAGGGTCCGAAAGCCCCGTCCTTGATGACTTTGTAATGTCATACCTCTTCTCTCAGGTGAAGCACGTCGGCATACAACCACTCTCTTTATTACTTAAATGAAAGAACAATGAATCCTTTATATTTGCACTTAAGCAACATATTCAAGAGCCTGTTCGGATTGCCCAGTATTGTAGATTAGGCATCAGAAAACAAGCACATGTTCAACTTTCAGTGTTATCAGTATCAGCACAATATCCACTGATACACAACAAGAAAAGAAAAGCCTGTTGGTTTGGCTACTGAAGATGTACATCTTTAGAAATATACTGTTAAATATATTTTTTTAAAGATGACAAAAAGTAATTTCCTAAAATAGCTGGGCACTGTAGACATTAGCAGACGTTACTAGAACAGGACTAAAAAGTGCATGTTTTTGGGGACTATCCTCTAATTGCATATCATCTGTCCTATTTTAATGCCTTGGAGGTCCCCTGTGGTTTTGTGTGTTTTTGAATGGACTGCATTCAACACTCGATTTAGCTTTCTCTCTGTTGTTTGCTTTCCTCAGACCAAATACGAGTTATAATACGTTTGCTGTCTTGTCCAATATCTGTATGAAAGTTGGAGAAATGTACGTTAGAAAACTTTTTCGGATGTATCATCAGAGCCCTGCGTTCCCTCGGTCAAGATAAGATTTCTATTATTTAGGGCTGAAAAGATTCCTTGAGAACTCGAGTAACTTGATTACTAAAAATCTGTCAAGGCTTTGCTGCTTATCAATAAAGCAAAAGTATTTTTTATCCGATTACTTGGTTAATCAATGGAATACTCATTTACAAAAATATTTGATAGCTGCAGCCCTATTATAAACCCTGTTTCAATAGACTCAATGTGAGTAGTATAGGTGAATCCAGGTAACTGAAGCCAGTATTATGACTGGAGCTGACCCTGAGTGAACTGAAGGATTATGTGGATTTATGCCTGTGAAAATGTGCCCTGGTGGCTCGGGACAGGCTTGAGAAGGGAAGCACTGCTGCGTGCGTCATTTGAGGGTGTAGTGTGTTCGCAGCCATTAAGCCATTACACATGCTTGCCTTCACCGCGGACAGATGTTTTGCTCTGTGAAGGATATATCAAATTCCTCGCAGTCTAATCTAGAGCTGAGCCTCTGTGTTTGTGATAAAGTAAGGCTATTATGATGTGCAAGGGGAAGTGTGTCTCTGCTGTTGGGACTCCCCACTCAAAATTGCTGGTTCAACAAAAAACGCAGCAACGCGGTTTGTAGCACAACACTGTTCCCCCAGTTATAGGTTAAATAATAAAACAACAAAAACACATCTAAAACCTTTGTTTTTCAAAGGACAATGATAATGAATTTGTGGTGAATTGATTAAAGTCTACAGTCACTTAACATGTGAGCCCATGTTTGTACACATACTCTACTTCAGCACATAGACAAACACAAGTGACAGATCTGTACAAATCTGTCAGATGGGTTCAACTGTGATTGTGTTGCTTTCTGTGCAGTGGAGGAATGACTTTGTCAATGGCTTAGTGAAGATCCCCAACTCCCATGAAACTCAGGAAGAGTGCCTTGGTATGGCTGTACTCGATATGACAAGAACAGCCAAGGAGAGACAGATGTCCCCGCTGGACGTCTACCGCACAATAAGGTACTAGTGAAATACAACAAGATCATCTCATTCTTAAGGAATCATTGGAAATGAACACCTGCTAAGCACTAACGATGTAATAGTGTAAATGGTGCCACGAAAATGATATGTTATAAATAAGAATATTTACACTTTTTTTCTACAAAACCATTATTATGCTGATGCATAATAATGTTTTTTTCTTTCTTGCTTTCTTCTAGCTACAAGTCCTTCTTGCCAAAGGATATGAGCGCTCAGATTCAGGACTGCAACTTCTTGACACGCAAGCGAATCCGATTCCGCTTCAAGCGCTTCATCCAGCAGTTCAGTCAGTGTCGGACCACAGCCCGCGATCTCAAGCTCAAGTACCTCATCAGCATTGAGTCCCTGGAGAAGTCCTTCTATACAGAGACCTTCCAGGTCAGGGAACCATCCAATGGACAGCTCATCATCCTGGTGGCAGCGGACAGTGGCATCCAGTGGTGTCGAGAGGAACTGAAAGATTCTCACCAGGTTGGTATCATGAGTGCTGTCAGACATGTTGCTGACTTTTACATACTTGCAGTACCGGAGGCCTTTTGTTACCAGAATATCTACGTAAAAGACAACATGTGGACGTCTGTTCATGGGTTGGCAGTATTTCAGAATAAACTACACAGGCTATGTTCATTGTAATGTGGCAATATGTCAACCTATTCAACAGTATCTGTGTATTTAAAAGCGCTGGTTTGGCGGGAATAAAAGTCATATCTTATGCTTTTCGTCCAGGAGATGAAGACCCTGTGTGACTTCCCTGATGTCACTGACATCAGCATCAAACAGGCCAGCAAGGAGGGTGCCGTAGAGAGTCGGGTGGTCACCATCAACAAACAAGATGGCAAGAATCTGGTAATTTCACTTTACTCCGTTGTAACCAGGCAAAGAAACTATCTGACCAAAGCCAGTTTTAGTGAATCTGGTCCGCTATCTCAGAGAGGGCTGTAAAAGAAGACAAACTTTAGAATTAGAGGCATTTGGTTCCAATGAGAAATATAATGGTGGAAGTTTACACATGATGTCTAAAAGTGTTTTTCGTATATTTCAGGAGCTGGAGTTCCTCAGCCTGTCTGAAGCCCTCTCCTTTGTGTCCCTCATTGATGGCTACTATCGGCTTACTACAGACGCACATCACTACCTTTGTAAAGAAGTGGCTCCTCCCAGACTTGTGGAGGCCATCGCTTCCCATTGCCATGGCCCCATCTCGTAAGCGAACAACAAAACAAAGCTTAATAATTCATATTTTACTACCAGCATGAGCAAGGCCCGTCACTCTCAAAAACATCAAGTTTGAATGAAAAAGAAGAAAAACACTTGTAATGCAGAACCAAAGTTCACCAGCGTGAGTTCTGCAGGGACATTTGTAGCCGTACATCAGCGGACATCTCTGTGTTGGCAGCAGAGAACATTGATACTTTTTAATACAAAATTACAATTCAGGCAGAATACTGTACGTTATCTATATATTTCAAAATTGCTACCACAATGACCAAGCATTCCCCGGGTCCTGGTGACGTATCCTAGCAGGTGAAGCTGAATTTCTCTGCAGAGATGCGGGTAAATAACCTGATGTGTCTTTTCTGCGTTGTGTTTTTGTTGCAGAATGGAAATTGCCGTCAATCGGCTTCAGAGGTGTGGAAACAAACAAGGATTGTACATCTTGAGATGTAGCCCTAAAGAGTTCAACAAGTATTGTCTGACTTTCCCGGTCGAGGTGGGTAAAACTCACCTGTGGTGGTTGCCTTGGCATATTTCCACATGTGTATTGACAACTTGGAAGAGTCAAAATTGAAATACAGTAACAATTCTCCTGTTGTGTGTTGCTCCCCATCCAAAGAATTGAATCCAACTGGACGGTTGTAAATCAGACTTGGTGACTGAAACTCAAATTCTTTACTTCTCCACTGTCTGCCCTCCTCTTTGTGTCTGCTGCTGTAGGTGTATGATGCTGTAGATTACAAGCACTGCCAGATAACCAGGTCTGTCAGTGGGGAGTTTAACCTCAGTGGAACCAAAAGAAACTTCAACAGCTTGCAGGAGCTTCTCAGCTGCTACCAAAAGGAAACCGTGCGCTCCGACAGCTTCATTTTCCAATTCAGCAAGTGCTGTCCACCTAAATCCAAAGGTAAATCTAACAGACTGTGGATTATTTTGAGAGATTAGTAAACGTTAGCGAAGGCTGTGTGTGCTTCTGTCTAATGTGCAATGTAACAATCAAACTAATTTCAATTTCCACTGAAATGTTTCCACCGCTGACTCACATTGTCGTTTCTCCGTCAGTGTGATCGCTTTCAACTTATCATGAACTACATATATTGTTCCTTAAAGTTTAGTTATCAATCAGATTGTTTTCTTCTCTCGCCATCAACAGAAAAGTCCTGCCTCCTTGTGTGCAGGAGCAACAAGGGCTCCGAAGTGCCTCTCTCTCCGTCTCTACAGCGACACAACATCAATCAGATGGTGTTTCACAAGATCAGGAAAGAAGATCTGGAATTTGTAAGCTTAGTGTGCATGTTCAGGACTGTCGTATGTCAGTATTTCCCCATTTGTCCAACAAGTCAATGCATGAAAATGTTGTAGCATTCCCCGTTATAGTGTTGTAGCTCTAAAGTACAATCCCACTATCCTTTACTGTGCATTTTACTGGCATGTCATGCTCAGAATTCATTACAACAATCGCCTGTTAAGAGTGCAATGATGGTCTTCCTTTCAGATGGAGAGTCTAGGCCAAGGGACATTTACCAAGATCTTTAAAGGGGTCCGCAAGGAGCTGGGAGATTATGGACTCGTGCACCAAACAGAAGTTGTCATGAAAGTCCTGGACCAAGCCCACAGGAACTACTCTGAGGTGTGTGGCTGTGTAAAGCGGTGCACAACGTTTTGTTTGCGGGAACACTTTGTTTTCACGGTCACAGTTTTCAGAAGGCTTCTTTGTGCAGCCGCTCTGATCGCTTCTAGTGGAAAATCTCAGAACTTTTCAGATGTCAGCGCTTTTTTTATTATTTTTTTATTTTTATTTTGGACAGAGAAGAACTCTTTATGGACACTAAGCCTAAACCAGCTGGTAGGAGCTTCAAGTGATCAGAAACTGCTTCATTTGAAACTCTTTTTTTTTTTTTTCTATGTGGATTAGGAATTGTTCCTCTCTTGATTTACAAACCTATGTGAGACAACTGCAGTTGACAGAGCTAACAGACAGTTTCTGTTCAGAGGAAGCGTGAAACAGTCACACAGTGAACTTTACTATAATGTGACAAAATCGGCTGAGTACATGAGTGTTTTTTGTCATTTTATGTTTATATTTTGAATGGTCTGCCTCCAAGAGACGCTCAGTCGCTGCTCAGCGGACAGAGAGAGTAGCGGGGAAAATCTCCTATACTTTAATTCAGTGCCTTTTTATTGGGCATCAACCTCGCGTTTACGCGCGTACTGTCAAAAACTATATACTTGTGAAGTGTAAATTTATTTTGTCCAGTTTGAGCGTCTTATATTTTAGACTTTGCTGCTTTTCTTTCTCATATGTATATTTTATATCATTTGTAAGTTGTTTTTTTTTATTTTTTTTATATATATTACAAAGGTTATTATAGTGATTTTTCACCATTATATTTGCTTGCTGTAATCATTTCTCCTGTTCATTCTGGACATTAAGAAACCCCTTAACGTGCTTCCAATGTGAGTGAAGGCGCAACGTGTGGGTTTCAATAACTTAATCTGAAGTTGATTTGAGACTTCAGCAGTCTGAGTTAAACAAATCAAGCAGATTTCTTCCAGTTACTGTCTTTTTAATACAAATTCCCTCTGAAAAATTGTGAGCCTCTCTTTTGTTTGAAAATGAAGATGATCGTTAGTTGTTGTTGGTGTACCTATTTGTCTATCATGGGCGCATAAATAAGTTCGTTTTCTATCTTAACTGTCTTCTCTTGTCCTACAGTCTTTCTTTGAAGCTGCCAGCATGATGAGCCAGTTGTCCCATAAGCACCTGATACTTAACTATGGTGTGTGTGTCTGCGGAGAGGAAAGTAAGTCAGCCTTAGAGACATACTCTGAACTTATCATGCCATAAGCACTACTGTTGTTTCTTGAAAAAAACAGAATATTCTGACACCCATTTGTTTGACAAACAATCTGAGCTTATGTCATCGTGGCCTAATGATGGAAGGAGACCTCGCTTCGCTATAATCTTGATAAAATACACAAAGTGATGCCTTCAATCAGTGGTAGATAACGCTGATATGAACCATAACCACGTCAGATTTTCAAGTGTCCTTGTGTAACACCGTTTGCAAAGAGGCTCATAAGGATGATGTGTAATTGATATGTGTTTAAGAATTGCATTGTAATTGCGAAAATGTCCTGTTTCAGATATCATGGTGCAGGAGTTTGTGAAGTTTGGTTCACTGGACACCTACCTGAAGAAGAAGAAGAACTTGATAAACATCCTATGGAAGCTGGAGGTGGCTAAGCAGCTGGCCTGGGCCATGAACTTCCTGGTAGGGATATGAGCGTGGTGCCAGAATTGATGTCAAGTAATTCATAGTATTGAGTAATATCAATTTGTGTGTTTGTTGAATTTAATTCGGTACACAAATCGTGTTTTAAACAACTGAATTAAATTGTAAAAGGAAACTGTAAGAACAGGGATTCATTGTTTCCTCTGTGTTGGTAAGAGATTTGTTTCACTCACCAGGATGTTAGCTCTGGTTAAAAGTCTGCTGTTGGCTGCGTACTATTTGTTTTGCGCTGACACAGCACTGTGGAGGTAGGTCTGGCTATGTGAGACCATTAAAGACTGATTCATCTCTCCCTCTCTGAACCTGCAGGAAGAAAAGCAGCTTGTCCACGGGAATGTATGTGCTAAAAACATTCTCCTGATCAGAGAAGAAGACCGGCGGGCTGGGAACCCCCCCTTCATCAAACTGAGTGACCCTGGCATCGGCATCACTGTCCTTCCCAAAGAAAGTGAGTTTATGTCTGTAATACATATCTTCAATCAACAGGGGGCAGCTGTTTAACAAGGTTGTGTTGGCTATGAGATTAGTGTAAAGTCAAACTGTAGTCTTGCCTGAAAGAATTGACTAACAGCGGCGGGTTGAATGTTTTTGTCTGGGATCAGTCCTGATTGAGAGGATCCCTTGGATTTCCCCCGAGTGTGTCGAGGACCCTGCCAGCCTGAGCCTGGCTGCAGACAAGTGGAGCTTTGGCACCACACTGTGGGAGATCTGCAGTGGTGGGGAGAAACCTTTAGCACCACTGGACATCTCTAAGGTAGGGCTGGGTGGTGTGACCTAAAATATATTCTATATCAAGGTGTATAGTCAATAATGCGTGGTGACAATACCGTATATGAACATAATTTATGTATTTAGACCTCTTATCATAAGCAGAATCTGCACATTGTCCAGTATCCATCCTCTATCCATTATACGAACCCTTTGTGTCTCACAGAAAACCCTGTTCTATGAGGACCACCACCAGCTTCCTGCACCAAAGTGGACCGAACTGGCGAATCTGATTACCAGCTGCATGGACTACGAACCTTCATTCAGGCCCACATTTCGTGCCGTCATCCGTGACCTCCACAGCCTCTTCACACCAGGTTGGTTTCTATGCTCCTAATGTTGTCACCACAGGGGATCTAGGTCACACCAGTGTGGAGTTTCAAATGTCTTCCGACGCGCACACACGGATCATAGTGTCTGCAGAAGTCACGTCTTTAGCTCTGATTGGAACGAGGTGATTAATGAAGTAGGGACAGTCTTCAAGGAATTTTTCAGCATTTTGGGAAAGTTTCCTACTAAAAGTTAGATGAGAAAATAAATATCTATGTCATCTCTTTGTGATTCATTTAGATATTGGTCCAAGAGATGATTCGCCGAGCTTGTAAATGTTGATTTACATAATTTCTGAGTTGTCGATTCATCTCTTGAATGTGTGTGAAATTTTTGTCTTTGCGTTTTCAGACTATGAGTTGATCGTGGACAGTGACATCCTGCCGAACAGAACCGTAGTCTCGGGCTGGTCCAATGGGGTCTTTGAGAGTCAGGAGCCGGCTCAGTTTGAAGAGCGACACCTCATATTCTTACAGCAGCTGGGCAAGGTATGAAGAAGTGTGGAAACTGTGCCTTTAAGAGCAAATCAACCTGTGTTCGACACATTTGGTCATGACGATTTTAGACTTTGACTCTTTCCTCATTAAATTACGGCTACATGATTCTGGAAGAACAAAAAAATTATGATTTGTCTCTCTGAGATTTTCTAACAGGAAATAAACATTCAATAATATTACTTGTTTTGAAATTAAGTCTCCTTCAGTATAAGGATTCCATTGCTAAATGTTTTCAGTCTGAACTTCAAGGGGTTAATGCATTTTTAGCATGCATTTTCTTAGAGGGAATATATACCCTTAAGGGTATTATAACTAGGTCTTATGAGTGGATTATTTTATGTGTACGTCATGTCTTTGCACAACTCTTCTCCAGTCCACCGTGCTTTATTCACCAAACACTTTCGGCTGGTGTACTGCATACAAGTTTAACGGGGTGCGATTTGCTTAAATTTGATGGCCTTACATTGAAGCTTCAACTAAGAAATAGAGTAAAATGTGAAACCAAAGTTTGAGTGAAAAAAAAAAATGACCGCTCACTTAAGTTGGTCTTCTCTTAAAGGGAAACTTTGGCAGCGTGGAGATGTGTCGATATGACCCGCTCCAGGACAACACTGGAGAGGTCGTGGCTGTGAAGAAACTCCAGCACAGCACTGCAGAGCACATACGAGACTTTGAGCGAGAGATTGAGATCCTGAAATCTCTACAGCATGAGAACATCGTCAAGTACAAAGGCGTTTGCTACAGTGCAGGTATAGTTGACCCGTAATTACCACCTTCTTCATCCTCCTCCAGAACTGAAATGTTTCCTTATTTGGGAGGAGCATTTTAAAATGTACAGACAACTTTTGGCGCGCCTCCTCTACACTCTTCTCTACAGGGTCTGCCACTTAAACTTCAGAGGACTGCCTGTATACTGTAGACCTTTGTGGCTGCCAGGTCCTCTGGATGACACCGTTTCTTTTTGGCTTCTCTCAGGACGACGGAATCTCCGTCTCGTCATGGAATATCTGCCCTTTGGAAGTTTGCGAGATTATCTCATGAAAAACAAGGAGAGGATCGACCACAAGAAGCTTGTGCATTACACTTCACAGATCTGCAAGGTACTTCTTTTTCTCCAGTTTTGTGGAGCTGCTGACCAGTGGAGCTAGAGATACAAAGAAATGTGTGTTTTCTTTCTGCATTCCCAGGGTATGGAGTACCTGGCAAGTAAGCGGTATATCCACAGAGACCTGGCGACACGAAATATCCTTGTGGAGAGTGAGCTGAGGGTAAAGATCGGAGATTTCGGCCTCTCCAAAATTCTGCCTCAGGACAAAGAGTACTACATGGTCAAAGAGCCGGGAGAGAGTCCCATATTTTGGTGAGATATTTGTTCTCTTCCTCGTGATGCCGCACAGAGTGCAGCTGCGGCTACTGAAAAAGTGTGGTTTTATTTAAAGTTATACAAGGAACTTTTAACTGGTTATGAAACTGACTCCATGTAATACTGGCTGTCACTAATGACATAAGCGAACAAGACCATCGTCTGTGTAGTGATGGTGGGTATTCTTAAAGGCTGTCATTGGCTCTGGTTCCCACGCGATATCATGCAGGTTTACCAGAAACTCCTACAGCTCAGACTCCTGCGCCCCGGCAGCAGTTGCTCCTCTGCGGCTGCAGAACCTGGAGCTCTCTACCGGCTTCCTGGGAGACAACTAACACCGTGCTGCTGGAGGCCCAGGTCGTATTGCTGGGCCCACTGGACAGAAGGGAGGCGGAGTCAGACTGTCAGACCCTGCTGCTGTAAAATTAGAGGTTTCTAAAGGGAGTCTGGCAGCTGCAGATCTTATCAACATGAAACGGTAGTCAGGTGGTACTCAGGGAAACACTACCACCTTTGTCCACAGGAGCAGTCAAAATCCCCACTACATGAAAGTTCCTTGTAGTAACTTTTAAGAAGTCAAAATCAGCTCTTTCTAAGGGGCTTGTTATAGCGAACACACAACTCTTGAATGTTGATCCACGTTAGGAATTCTTGAAACATTGTTTTATGTTTGCTGTGATACCTGTCCTAGTTTTGAAGACGACGTGTAAGCTCACAAGCTTCCTAAGAGGAGCAGAACGGGGACAGACAGTCACACGGTGTGCTATTTTGTAGGTATGCCCCTGAGTCGCTGACTGAGAGCAAGTTCTCTGTGGCATCAGACGTCTGGAGCCTTGGAGTGGTGCTTTACGAGCTCTTCACCCACAGCGACAAGAACTCCAGCCCTCCTGCAGTAAGTGTTAACACACTTTCACACTCGCACGCATGCACTGAACACCGCCCGTTCAACTTTATTTAAGGTCACTGCTTTTTTTCATACTGTGGATATTTCCGGTCTCAGGCTGCTGATCCAGAAGTCCAGCGTGATTGATGCATAGTGCCAACAATTAAACACAACTTAATTTGGGGAAATTCCTAAATGTGCACGCTTTTTCTGCGCTACGCCGCACAAAGTAGAGCCTGCGACTCCCTTACTGAAGTCATTTAGTAGTTTGTCATGTTGACACTGAGAACATTTCTCTGTTCATGTTGCTCCACATGTTTTGCTTCATTTTTGTTTGAATCAATCTGTCTTTGTCTTGGCTGTCACCATTCTCCTCCTCAGGTTTTTATGTCCATGATGGGGAACGACAAGCAGGGACAGTTGATCGTCTATCACCTCATTGAGCTCCTCAAGTCAGGCAGCAGGCTGCCTCAACCTCTGGAGTGTCCCACGGAGGTAGGACCACGCACTAACCGTTTAGATGTTAACCGACATGAAGAAAGACTTGAAATACACAGCGTAGACGCTTTTGGACCAAATCTTACCTTACGTGACACTGGTGAAACCGGTATACCGACCATTAACTGCAACTCAACCTGTTTGGCAAACATGTTTGCTCATCCCAGGACCTCATTCACAAACGATTCTCTTTCTCCCTGTTTTTTTCTCTCAGATAAATGAGATCATGGAGGAGTGCTGGGACAACGACCCCGGCTTGCGTCCGTCTTTCAAGGAGCTTGCCCTGCGCATAGACCTGTTCAGGGACAGTAAGGAGTTTTAGACAGAGAAATCACCCAAAGTGCCCTGCTCCTCTTCAACCGAGCCTCTCCTAAAATTGCCGCCCTGTTAGTGACAAGGGGACAAAGGCCAAAACAAGATGAGTGCCAAGCGTGTGGCAAAAGCGGGTCGTGACTGGAAGAGTGGTGATTCAAAACTAGGACCAGCTCAAAAACTACTGCCAAGGTGCCTTTTAAGCAAGGCACTCAACCCCCCATTTCTATGGTGGAGTGGCTCAGTGGCAGCAGAATGGGAATGGATCAACTGTTGAAGGTGATGTTGGTTTGGTCAGAGATCCTGGATAAAGTTTTAAAGAGTTCAAGAGTTTGTGGAGACTAAGTAGATAATTGCCAGGCCTAAAGCTAGAGATGCTTGTGTCAAACAAGTTCTCTTTCTGTGTGCGTGTGTGTGTGTGTGTGTGTGTGTGTGTGTGTGTGCACGAGAGAGTGTTGTATCCTTATAAACAGCTAGCAGGGCTAGCTCTCGCCATCCTCTTTTCCCCTCACCTGAAGAGAAATTGTCTAATAGAGCCAAGTGTTTTCTATGTGTGTGTGTATATACCCACAGTATATTGGTGTACATATGTCCAGAAAAATTTTGTAATTTTATAAAATGAAAATATAGTAAAGTACTACGTATATTTGAACTACGAGCAAAATGTCAGTATAAATGAAGTATATACAAAGGTGAAAAATCTGTTATGGTTTTATGTTTTTATTGTGAGAGGTGGTGTGAAAATTAAAGAACAGTTTAATTCAATTGATCTGTTAAGCAAAATCTTGTGGTCTTTGAAAGTCCTCATTATTTCCACACTATAAATGAAATGTGCTTTTCAAACAGCACATTTGTAAACAGCTGAGACGCTAAAAATTTTGTTTTGAAATTGACATTTAAGGGGAAACGACACTGATCACAAAGAACACAATATTCTGAATTTGCCCTAATTAGAAGAATCTCAATGCACATTAAAATCTGAAGCATATCCGACTGTTGCATTTTGCTAATTGAGACAAGACGGGGTAGTAGGCTGGGTTTTAAAAAAATCATGAATGTGTCTTTCAAGAAAGGAAGTTGATCATAAAGATCCAGATTCAACACATATAAACGTTTAGGCTGTCAGTATTCAGAATGTTGTCCAGAAAGTTGACCTACTTAAAAGGGAGTAAACACAAACCTAAGGCATGTGTCAAAGTATTCGATTTATTTATTTCAGGTGATACAGATTCCACTTAGCACTATAGTGCAGGGGAAAACATTTGAACCTTTTCAATCCATGCCGGCACTGACGATATGTACTAACTGCAGCTCATTATGTAACTGCAGTAATGGAGACCGTGGGTTTAAGGGGGCACAAGGAGGGGTTTCCACCAAATGTCTTAATGTCACTTTTAAAATGCAACTTAAATGTTCCCGAGGAGCAATTTGGTTTGCAGACAGTTGAGTAGTCGAAAATCGAAATAATACAGTAAATGCAGCAATAAATAATAATAATAATAATATATCCATTAAGTCAAAGTTATATGACTTGTTTTGACTTTTAAACTTTCTTTGAAAGTCTACATTTTGACCCACTACAATGATTTTTATTCTGTTTTTCCTGGTGGAAATGGGCTTTCACTTGTTTTGCAGATTCAAGCTGCCGAAAATAATCAAGCTCTAAATAATGCTCGAGGAAAAAGCACAGCCCCAGCTACAAAAAAAAAATGTTTTCTCTAAATATTAATTCGCTCACTCTCCCTTGTGTGGAACTTTATTGAGTCACATACTCGGGCATTTGTGGTCATTAATTTACTGTTGTAAATTATATTAATTCATATTTTATTTTGAAATCCGGATGCTGCGTACGCTGCGGGTGTGCCGGAGCTTCATCAAAACGAGGACGTTTCAAGGGGCAATCAGCTGTTTGATCGGTTCTGAGCGGACGCGTGAATCGTGTTTGGTGAACGAGAACAAAAGGTGAAATTATTACCTCAAACCTTCGAGGAAACGGTCGCCTGTTTTTGAATGGGATTACCGTAATCTTCTGAATAAGAGCGCATTGCTAATTGTGACCGCATTTAGGCAACTTCACCGTAATGCTGTAGGAAATTTGCAGCATCAGTATATGTGTTGAAGACACCGGGAGAGGAACCGTAGCGGAGAGAAAGGTGAGCTTTCTTTTGTGCAAAAGATTCAGATTCTGAACTATTTACTGTTGTAAGGTTTTGGGGCTGTAGCTACAATGCTGTTGTATTAGACTGGTGTTTGTTGTATTTTATACCCCCTTTTTTTTTACATGTATGAAGGAGAAAAAACAGAACATTCTGAAATCAAAACATTTTTGGTTTGTGTCACCTTTCCATACATTTCATTGAAATAACCATTAACAATCTAATAATGTCATGTATGGGAACAGTTCCCCTCATTTTAATAGTTTACTTTTTAATTAACTGAGAGTATTATATAAATGCAGGACTTTTACTCGTAATGGAGTACTTTTACCACCACTGGTAATTCCAATACCACAAACAAATGTGAAATCCTTTTTAAAATGCATCTATGTGCGTCATCTTACAAGAGCCCTGCTTACTTTGAGTTGAATCAGTTTGTTGCACGACAGCCAGGCTGGAGAGCAGCCTGCAGAGGGGCGGTGAGGATGAAGTCCAGCAGACCTCCTGACGGGGGGTACGGCTGGGTGGTGGTCATGTCCGCCTTTTTCGTCATGGGCCTCACTGCTGCCGTCCTCAAGAACTACGGATTGTTCTTCCTGGACATCCAGAGTCACTTTGGAGTCCCGACCAGTACCACCTCATGGGTCACCTCCACCACCATCGCCATGTTTCACCTTGGAGGTAAAGACATGGGTTCGAGCTTGAAGTTAGTTTTTATTTTAAGATTTATTTTTTTTAATGGTGTTTCCATTTTTCCTCTCAGCTCCAGTGGCCAGTGCGCTGACCTTACGGTTTTCCCAGAGAGTGGTCATCATAGTCGGAGGTCTGCTGTCGGCCTCCGGCATGTTGTTCTTCCTTTGTTTGGTTAGTTTAAGTCTGAGGAACGCCAAATTAAATCTACTTCCTAATTGTATCATTTAAACCCTCAGCTGCAGTGGGATGCAACCTTGTGGTGGGGAGTCAAGATAAATGTGAGGGGCCAATTGATTAGCCGAATGAAGACCTGAACGTGTTCTATTGTTGCATTAGGGAACACATGTGACACATGTGACACAATGGAAGAAAGGAATAAGATGCATTTGTTTATTTAACACATTTAAAAATTAATAACTTGTTGGAGAAAATACTAACCTGTCCATCAATCTCTGAAGAAACATAAGTGAGGTTTTAAAGACATTTTTTAATCCACTTTTATTTATATATGTGTGTGTGTGTATATATAAATGCATTCCTTAATTGTAATTTTCAAATGGAGTAGCTTGTGTATTTCCCAGCTGATGAGCCAGCACAGTGAGCTGTTGTACAGAGGGGGAGAGGATCTCTCCATCAGATTTCAGAGGCAGTTGTGTAGCTGTCTTCAGCCAACACACAGTAAACAATACAGTATTTTTTCAAACATAAATTCTTAAAATTCCCTGCTTTCAGTTTTTAAGGTTGTATATGATAAACTGACAGACACAATAAGCAATTGTATGATGCCACCTTGATCTCTGGGAATTTGTATTTTTTTATTTTCTTACAGTTTATAGACAAATTAATTGAGAAATAAATAGTTAATTGATAATGAAAATAAATATGCCCATTTGGCACAAAGACAATGTATCTTGGTAGGTGGGTTGTTTGAAGGTGACCACTTTGTTTGGTTAAAACATTATCAGAGGACCCCAATCTTCCGAAAGGAAACATGATGGTTAAAGTTTTCCATCTTCTGTTTCCAGGAACGGGCATTTGCTTCACATGGATCCCCGCCAACAGCATGGTGAGCCACTACTTTGTACGGTGGCGTCCCATCGCCTACGCCATCGCCAGCTCCGGGGAGTGCGTCTTCTCCGTCATCTTCAGCCCTTTCTTCCAGTGGCTGATTGAGATGTACAGCTGGCAGGGGGCCTTGCTCATCATTGGAGGCCTTCAGCTCAACCTGTGTGTCTGCGGCGCTCTCATGAGACCCCTGGAGGAAGTCCAGAGCCCGATACAGGAAACCAAAGAAAGTCCAGAAGGCCATGCCACTGTGGTCCCACCACAGAGGAGGGTAATCTTCCAGTTCTCCCTGATGAGAAAACCTGAACTACTCCTCTACATCCTGTTTGCCATCTTTGCGGCGGCAGGATTTTTCATCCCGCCACTCTTCCTAGTGCCCTTCGCCAACAGTTTGGGGATGGATAAATACTGGCCTGCCTTCATCCTCTCTACCCTGGCGTTAGCAGACCTGGCGGGGAGGCTGCTCTGCGGGTGGATCGCCAACATGAGGCTGGTGAGGAACCTGCAGCTGCTCACCATGGTGGTCACTCTGCTCGGGGTGGTGGTCCTGCTGCTGCCCATCAGCCACAACTACTGGGCCATCCTGGTCTTTGCCTCGCTCTACGGCTTCCTGTTCGGCTGCGTGGTGGCCATTCACGTCACTTCTATCGTGGACATTGTAACCCTGGAGGGATTCGACAGCGGACTGGGGCTCTTTATGCTTTTCAGGAGCATCGGTGGTGGATTCCTCGGCCCACCTGCTGCAGGTGAGCAGATTTAGATTGTCAGGCAGGAAAACAATGTGGCGGACTGAATCTATGAATCTATTATCTTTGCTTGGAGCATGCTGCCGTTGGTATTTAGCACAAAACACCACACAGCCTCACGGAGCTGTTAACGAGGCTGTGTACCATTGGACCCCAGAACTTAGCATGAAATGCATGCCTTATATTTTAATCATCCACAGTCCATTTCAATAATTAAACTTTCAATGGCTTACATTTAATACACTAACTCATCAAAACTTTGAGAACCCCTGGTATAGTAAAAAAGACATAGCAGACATAGTATAGTATGTTATCAAATAATTAATAGAAAATGTCATGATGATCGAATAGTTCTGAGTGATTGAAGAATAGCATGTTTGGTTGAAATGCCTATAAAATAATGTCATGATACTATAGTATGAAATGGGATAATCGTATATAGTATAAGATGAAAATATCATAAAATAGCTGGGATGGGTCACGATGTTTTAATTTTAAAATGATTAATTTTATAAAAATGGCGCAGTGTGTGTGCGGCGTAATCTTTGAATAGCGATCAAATGGTTCCCAGTAATTATCCAATATCATTTTTCTTGAAATGCCCTTCCTTATGATATTGTATGTAGTAAAACAAATTCATGGCATAGTATGTCATTAAAAAATTTCAAACTTTCATAATATAGTATTATTAATAATAAACAGTCATAGTATAGTATTTAATAAAAATGTCATAGTGTATAGTGAGAATGGCACAAACTCTTCACTGCAGGTCTACACACGCCTGGAGCCCTGTCTGTTTATTGATTTATAACCCGGGCACACTGAGCTCTAATGTTTCTTGTGCGTCTGTGTTTCTCGTGCAGGCTGGCTGGTGGACCAGACAAACGACTACAGCGCTGCCTTCTACCTCTCGGGTGTCTGCCTCGTTTCATCAGCGGTGTTTGTCGCCCTGGTCGACCGCCTAGTTCAGAGGAGAAAATCATTGGACGCTAAAGTTCATCACGAGATTATCCGGGGCGACTGAGAAGCAATGTGATTATAAGCCTGAGGTGTGTTCAGCGTTTGATCACATGCCAAATGCTGGGTGGTTTGGCCGGGTTTGACTTGTGGGGCAGGTTTAGGTTATGAATCCATTACTCCCAGCAGACTCTTGTTGTCAATCAACAAATCATTAGCCCTGGTTCTTCCATTTATATATATTCCTCCTTAAATAATGAATACAACTATCACACCAGCGACATTTTTATTTTATCAGAAATAAGTGCAATATATCCTCATTTGAAGCCAATGAGAGACTTTGAGAGGTTGACAAATGGAAGTAGCACGAAAATGTTTTTCCCTCAAAGGGCACAGACAGGTGTTACCTCTGAGTGACGGTATTGTTTGCAGGTTAAAACACTCTTACAGTATATTTTAAATAGTTCTGTTTTAATCGGCAGAAAATAGAAAAAGGTTTTAACCAGAGTCGGTCATGGTAAATATATATGTATAATTCAAAAATGTCAAACAGTCAAACTTAAGTATTTCATAAAAAATGTCTACGATAACTAACTACAATAGAATGTCATAGTATAGCATGTCTTTAAAAAGTCATAGGCACAGCATAGTGTGCTATAATTCAATTTTATTTGAATAGCACAATATCACAAATCAACATTGTTTCAGACGGCTTTACAATCTGTAAAGCATACGACATACATGGATAAGGAAAAACCTTCACCGGGGGAAATAAAGGAAGAAAACGCAGGGAGAGCAACTGAGGAGGTATCCCTCTCCCAGCATGGCCAGAGGTGCAATTGATGTCATGTGTGCAAAATTAACAACACAATCAAAATACAACAGTCAATCCAGAAACGATACATACGAGTAGTAATAGGGCAGTAGCACTAAAATTGTAGAAAAATGATAGAAAAATGATTACCACTTATAACAGTTGCAGGGGATATAGCAGAATAATAAAAATGAAAGCAGTAATAGTAATACAAATGTGATTAATGATAATAGTACAATTGGATGTCAGAATTGGCCCTGGCAGCAGGCACGACCACAGTTCAGGTATAACCACGATCCATAGAAAGCTGCAAGGCGATAAAAAATTGTTAAAAAGTTATTAAAATTGAAACTGCTATAGTACTGTATGTCATTAAAAAGTCGTGAAAAATGGTCATAATATGGTATGTCATGAAAATGTCAAAAAAAGTTGTACGTTCTAAAAAAGTTAGAAAAAATGTCATAAAGTCAAGTCATAGTATAGTATTTCATAAAAGAAATCATTAAAAGTCATAAGAAATGTCATAATATATCGAAAAAACCGTCACTAAAAAGTCAGTTCGTTATGCTATAAAATGTCACAAAAATTAGTTTAAAAGACCAATTATGAAATGTCATAAAAATGTCAAGTCATAATGAAATCCTTGTAGAAAAACACAATATCCCATAAAATAGTCATAATTTGTTGACAATTTACTTTCCGTCATTTCAAATAATTAGTTTCAACAAAATTTCAGACGAAGCCATTTGAAAGGAAATATCTAGAAAATGATTTGTTTTTCCAAAAAGGTTCAATTTGAGATGAAAGACCTGATAAAGACAAGTCCCAGTCCTTCCCCGAGTCCCTGAATTGCTTTTCTACCGGTTGTGATCCACTTTGTCAGTCACCACTAGGTGGGAGTGTTGACTAGAAAGATCATTTAAACCCGTCTTGCAGTTCAGTTCCCCTTTAGTGCGTCTTACTCGTCTTCACACAAACATGTCCACACTTAAAGACAAAAATGTTTAATACAGAATTTTTGACAAAGCAGTTTAGATTAGAAAATAATTAAAAGTTTAGACTAACCATCTACTTAGACAACAAAACACATTGAAACATTTTTTATACAACAAATGAATATTAACAGCCTACAATTAAAAACCTCTATGTTCAGTCAGACTACTTGATAAAAAGGGAATGTCAAGGCAGCTATTTTACACAACAGAATTGAGGCACCAAGGCACCAACTGTATTTATAGATGTTGGGAGTCTAGTAATTTAAAAATGTACTCAACCTGAAATACAGTATTTCAGAGGTGTTTTACGTAGCGGCCTATGTGTAAAAGAGTGCACCTATTTTGCGACCTGGAAAAGCAAAACTTGCACCTTTGGTCCATTGGAACAGTTTGAGTTGGAGGGAAACCAGTGACCTCCGTAAATTATCAGAGATAAAGCCCTGTCCCATTGTCCACCTCTCCGACTGTGACCCTCGTTTGAAAGGAGTCTGCTAGGGCTCAGGGCTGCTACACTGTGAAATGGTTAAGTGCTTGAGAGCTCTCTTGTAGACTTTTGGCTCCGATTGAGGGAATTAAACACAATTCTTAGGGCACCAAGACAGGGATGTCAAGGGCAAGTCTGAAATCATCAGAGCTGGAAGAAAACAGTGGCAAAGAATATCTTCTTTTTTTCCCCCATTGAGAGTCTGACAGTATTGATTTGTTACTCCTAAACATCCTATAATAATAGAGTCCAATTATTCTGAGATTGTGTATCCTGTTCTCACATTTTCACTGAGCAAACAAGTAAAGTCCGTGAGATTTTAGAGCTCGGGAGTGACATTGGGACTGGACCACAGGGAGCATCTACGAGGAGGCTCTCTTCTCCTCGTACGGAGAATCGTAGGCCTCCATGGGCGGGCAGGTGCACACGAGGTTCTGGTCACCGTAGATGTCGTCGATCCTGGAGATGCTCGGCCAGAATTTGGTCTCAGGCCTAATGAAGGGCTGTAAAGGGAGGATATATGTGACAATAAAGTAAACCAAAATCTAGTCAGTTCATCTTTCAAATTCCAGTAGTCGTTTGTGCAAAATTTGAAGATATTCCTTCCATTTGTTACACAGATTTGGTGCAGGATTTTACTATTTTTGACCATTCGTGATTGATATAAAAACAGTCAAAAATGCCTCCAAAATACCACATTGAGACACCAGGAACACCATCGAAAACTACAATGAAATGGTTATTTTGGGGACATGAATACAATTGGGCTCATTGGATCCACAAGAGTCTATCTAAATAAATAAAAAAATATAGTAAAGTCATGAAATCTAGATTTCAATATCAACCTAATCTTAACATTTTTTTTTTAAATAAGTGAGAAGTGAAGGTGAATGTCTGCTTGCCGCAAAATCAGTTGTTCATCTGGACCCTACATTTTAAAAACCTATTGGCAGACAGAAGAGTGATTTTTATGGAGTGGAGAATTGGATTCTGAAAAAAAAAAATAGTCTCCGATGTAGTCTACATTAAAAAACGTAACTCAAAATGTGTATTAATTTATGGCTGGAGCACACCGAGCGTGTGAATTGTATGAGTCTGTTGTAGTGGAGGCAGAAATCTCAGACATGGATTTTTCAAAACGTCTGCAAATAGTAAAAGTGTCTGCATGACCACATAACAAATATTAGTATACATTTTTTGTGTGAAATTGCTACAGTTACAGATGTAATTGTAGGTCAGCTGAATAAACTCATAAATTAGAGTTGCAGCAGTCATTAAAGACATTTCTTCAAAAAAGGTTTTTGCAGCCCTCTGCAGATTTTGAGGAATAAAACGCAATTCTTACTTCTGACCACTAGATGGCAATACAGAAAAAGACTGTCTCATCTTGAACACCTTTAGCACTACAGAAAAGTTGTAGCCGGGATTGTGTAATGAAGTCAGAGGGATGAGGACACTCACCAAGGGGAAAGCAGCATGCTCCCTGGAGTAGGGCCTGTCCCAGTTGGAGGATGTGATGCAGGCCAGAGAGTGAGGAGCCATCTGCAAACGCACATGAGGAGCTTTATATTAGCTGCTGTAAAAGGCATATTTCCACCTCATACAAATGGACTAATCAAGCCATTCGTGTACCTTGAGCGGGTTGATGCGGGAGTCCATCCTTCCCTCCTCGATGTCTGCGATCTCCTGTCGGATACCAAGCAGGGCGTCGCAGTACCGGTCCATCTCAGCCTTGTCCTCAGACTCTGTGGGTTCGATCATGAGGGTACCAGCCACCGGCCACGACATGGTGGGTGCATGGAAACCTGGACGCCAGCACAAAAAAACAAAATCAGAAACGGCTTCTATTGCAGCTATGATAAACCAATAAAATCTTATTTTAAATGTTTGTGTACAGTATTTGATTTTAAGAAAATGTAGGATCCTGTATATTCAATATCTAGAAAAAGACACTTGAGGAGGAATGTACTGTATATAATTTAACATACCATAATCTTGCAGCCTCTTGGCCACGTCGACAGCTTCAATATTAGCAGTCTTCTTGAATGGCCTCACATCCAGAATGAACTCGTGGGCTACAAAACCTGTTCAGACCAACACGAGAACATCAAGCAAAGCATTTTTAAATTTGACATAAGCTTTTTTTTTGTCTTTGGAAACGTAGAGAGTACATCAACATACATCGATAGAAATGAATGCTTTCTCAGCCGTACCTTTCCTGCCTCTGTAGAGGACCTTATAGTGACCTTCTAGCCTCTTGGCCATGTAGTTAGCATTGAGGATGGCCACTTCTGTAGCGTGAAGAAGTCCTTTAGATCCCATCATCTAAAACACAGGAACGATATTGGAAAACTTCCACTGGACATAATGAGGATAATTTATGTAAGGAACATTCTTCCTGAAAAACCCTGATAAAATGTCATGACAACACTAACTCAGCTACACACACACCATCCTGACATTCCTTCTCAAGCAGTTTATGTGACTCTGACATGAAACTCACATGACAGCCAGGGAACTTTAACAACACTTGTGCATGATAACGTGTGAAGAAATGAGGTTTACGTGCCTGGAAATGTTTGTTACAGTAAATAATTAAGAAAAAAAAAAAAAAAAAGAGAGCAGTTTCCCTTGACTTGGTGTATAATAAACATCAAAAGAATTTGTACAAGTTGAGATGCGTTGTAGGATGCATTCAACTGCTCTGAATTCAGACTACAGGTTGCTGCACTGTTTGGATGAGACGCATCTCTAGCATTTGTTTATGCTTCCAAATCTTTCTCCATCCTCCTCTGCTTTTGCTTCAGAATTTTACTAAATACTTTCGTATGTCTTGTGTCCTCCATGCTCTCTGGTATCAAAGGTTGTGAAACATGTCATGCCGTCCTCTCAAGATAACACAATACAATTGATTAGCTGCGCTGACCTTGATGTAAGCCCAGGAGATCGGCAGGATGGCGCTGGAGCCCCAGGGGGCGGCGCTGATGGTGCCCAGCGAGCTGCTGGCGTCGACCGAATCCATGGGAACCACAGGGTGGCTCGGCAGGAAGGGGGCGAGGTGGGCCTTCCTGATGAAGACAAGAGCAGCAGAATGTCATGAGGACAGACAGTCCTTCTCAAAGTGATACAAATGTTGCCATTTATATTAGTGCTTTTACAGAATAAACATACAGCTGTGTGCATATATAATGTCTCCATCAGGGTTACAGTACATTCAGCACACTAGCATAAATACAACGCATCTAATCTGGCTCATAATCTCCCATTCTGATTTACACTCCAATTGGCCCCATGCCAGGTCCTCCTCCACCGTGAGGAATACAGAAGGTTTTGTGCAGGTTGAGATGAGACACATCAGAGCCATAATCTCCAGGACGACACAGACCAACCTGGAAAACAGCGAAAGGAAGGAAAATCGTCACCATTTCTACTTTTACCAAAGTTTGCCAACATTTAGCTATTGGTCATTTTACACCATAAACACTGACAGATTAGAGTAAAGAATGCCTAACCTTGACTTCACAGATACTATATAGGCAAACACGTCAAATCCAAGCTCATCCAGGAAAATGAATGTAAAAGAGACGACAATCTAAATCAACAGATAATCTAAACTAGATAAGGGCATTACATAGTTTAAGATCTCTCACATGAAAGCAAGTAAGGAATATTTTAGCTGTAACTTTACAAAGCATTTAGAATTCTAATGAAAAAGAAAAATGACATGTATAGCACGAGTATTAAGTGTCTTGCATAACACATTGTTCTAGGCCCCTTGAGTTAATAATAATAATAATAATAATAATAATAATAATAATAATACCACAAAAAACACATCAAGTAACCTTATCGAGAATCATTTGAATATCTTAAGTAACTCCAGATTCCTCCTCAATTTAATCTGCCCTGATATTTAGGAGTCACGTGACTGGGTATTACCAGTAAAAGAACACAATGTATTATAAAAGTCAGTGGGGACAGGGTCTGTAAGTCCGTCAGTGATTTGTGGAGGTGTTCTTGGCGTAAAACCCATCACCTGTATATCATAGAGAACAAAGGTTAACTATTTACAGCACGATAACACGCATCTATAAACCTTTATCCTATTAGCCTTCAGTTTCCACAAGTAACTGTTCACTTTCGAACAGAAACATTATGTTTTCACGTTACGCTGCAGTTTCCTCTCTCTCTCACCTGGGCGTTCATGTTGGCGCCATCCAGGTACACCTGGCCTCCGTTCTTGTGAATAAGATCACATACGTCACCGATCTGTTCCTCAAACACACCAAAGGTGGAAGGGTAGGTGACCATCATGGCTGCCAGACTCTCCTTGTGTTTATCCACCTGGAAGAGAGGGCAGGATTCAGACAACATAATTATTACTAAAAAATTGGGTGTTGCGGGAACCGATCACATTTGACTCGGGACTTCCGAGCTGTGATAAATTTATCACATAAATACCTCTTGGTCATTTGTGTGTATGCATGCATGTATATACATATACTTTTTTTTAAACTTTAATTCAAAGCTGCTATGGTCTTTTCTGAACTCTCAGACATAGTGAACAGTCCAACGCTAAAGATTGCACAACCATAACCGTGGATTTAAAATTGTATCCTGGCCAGCAGTTACTCTACTCATGAAGAGCTTCTCCAGCAATTTAGCACGACACTATTCAAGTTAAGATGGGTGACTCGTAAAAGACAGTGAGCAGTGCCTGGGATATCCAGACTTTTTCATAAAGCAATTTGTTTTTGGAGCTAGACCCATATAAGTGACACTCTTTAGCATCCACGTCTTTCAAACATGGCTCGTTTCTTTCTTTTGAAGATTTGAAGTCTCAACCTAAGATAACTTTGGTGATATCATCACGCTTATGACATTCTCAGACTTGACAATGGTCCTTATACAGCAGCTTTGATCCTCATGTGTGAAAACTGTCCGGCTCTCACCAGCGCCTTCAGGTGTGCCAGGTCGATGTTGCCGTCCTTGTCCACCTCCACCACCTGAACCTTCATGCCAGCCATCTGAGCGCTCGCCGGGTTGGTGCCATGGGCTGACTTGGGGATCAGACAAACCTGGAGGTGAAAGGAAGAAATATTAATGTAGCAGGACAAGAGAGCTGTGACACGTTTGTAGCCTGGAGGTAAATTGTCCTTTTATTCAGTGTGTGTAGAAATAACTTTTTGACTAATGATATTTCAGTATCTATATTTATATGACTGCAGGAGGACCTCTCATTATCCAAGATCAGCAGAACATAACACCTTCATATTATTACAAGAGATGAGGATTCATATAATTCATCTCCTTGAGTCTAACAATACTGCTTTGTACAGAAAGGAGACCTAAAGAAGTCATGAAGAGCCAGTGTCTAGTATTTATTAAGGTCAAACCACCACTTGCCAACTGTTATACAGAAGAATAAAATCTGAAAAAATAACTTATTTATACAAAAAGAGCAGGACTATTAAGTCTGTGTTGGTAGAGGCTGTAACCTTCTATCTGGCCAACACCCACCACTGCCACCAATGTGTAACCTGCCTGCAGGTCACTAATTGATTTTATTCCTTATTAGGGCGACACTTTTGCAACTCGCACAAGGAAACTGGGTCAGTAAGACCTGTGGGTCGGGCAAAACTGACTAATGAATGACCGAGAATACACTACAGAGCATGACACGCCAGTGACTTGCTGTTCTCAAAGTCTTAAAAACTCCAAATATGGAACCTTGAAAGCAGGTAGCCTATAGTGGGAGCAGAGCGTTTTCAGCCCCTTTGTTTGCACACGGTTGTTAGTTTGGACCTTGACTGTTTCAAGGGATCAGGCCACTATCTAAGATGTACTCCTGAGGGAATCTTTTTAAAAGAAACAAAAAGGACGATTTACAGTACAGGAAAAATACTTAAGTCAGCCATTCTTTAATCTGTGGGATTAAAGAATGTCTCACTTTGTCCTCGAGCTACCGCCAATCAGCAAGTCAGGATACTGAAGGAATTCCTAACCAGAATACCTGAAACACGTTATTCTGAGATGTGAAAATGACCTGTTGTAACCTGGGAGCAATAAAACGGTCAGTAAGTCAGACTGGTAGGCTTTACGCTCTGTGGCTTATGTACTCCATTGACCAACGTCAGCATTATCAATGTCGCCAGAATCAAAAGGAACTACTAGAGATAAACCAATCTTAGATATCAGCACTGTTCCTACGGTAAGAATTACAGCACGTCCAAGAATAGCAATGACATTATTGCTTTGAGAAGCACTTTAATCTTATTGAAAAACAGGGAAGTTAAAGTCATATTTGAGCATTTTGGGAAATATTTGCTTTTTTACTAAGAGTTAGATGATTAGACGGTGGTTCACCATTCATCAGATGGTTATCTTAGGATAAAGACTGTCCAATGGTAACAAACCCTCCTCCACCATAAATAACTTGTTTATTAGTGAGCTTTAGAGGTCTAAAAACATACCAAGTAATTGCTTGTTTGTCATTTTACTGTGTTTTTTGTACAGATCAAAGAGGTTGTAGTTTTCACTGTGGGTTATGGGTGAGACTATTTCTCGGATGGAGGCAGTGACTTGTAACCTGCTGCTGGCTGGCTGTATGCGTTTCTTAAGAGTATGGTGTATTGTAGGAGTATCCACGCACATCCAATCCAAAGTGGGCAGATGCAGAACTGCTCCTGTCTGATGAAGAGCAGTTTTTGCTCAAGATGTCCACTACTCTGCAGAGTGCGAGCTTTTCATTGGTTTAATTCAGTGTTATGTATCCTCTCATCAATCCTTACCGAGGAAGCAAATAAGTGCATTTCCCTAAATGTCAAACTATTCCTTTCAGTACATTTTCTCTAAATTGCTGTGGGACACTGCATATGGCTTTGATCATAACATTCCTCTGTATCGTTTGTTTGTAGTGCACATAATCTGGAAACTGAGGCTTAAATATCTTAAAAATCCAATTTGTGTTAAGCCGCAGAATCAGATGAGACCCTTAACTGTCATTTAATCCTATTAACTTCCACACTAATTCACACAGGTGTTTCGGTATGACAGTGTAATTGGGCACCACACTTACAGTTCTCGCGCTCTCTCCCTTTGAGTTCAGGTAGGCTTTTATGGCAGCCAGCCCAGCATATTCGCCCTGAGCACCACTGGAAGACAAGGCAAACACACCCTGTGGTTATGTACTACACCTACACACACACACCCATCCACCCACCCACCCACATCCTTGCCTCAGCACAGTTCAAAGACCAATCTACTGACATTACCAAAAGGGGAGAGAAAGATGAAAAGCTGGCTGCATGACAACTCTCCAGTGTTCCGTTCATAAACCTTCGCCTGCTGATAAAGTGGTGATAGAAAGCATTCAACTACTGGATACTGACTAAAGTCTAAAACCAACTACAAAGTCCCAGACACAAAGGGAAACTCTTGAAGCGTTTTCCAGAGAAAATGTTTTAAAATGTGTTAAATAATGCAGCTGAAAGGCTGTGGGAAATTCAAATTAAGCATTACTTTATTTATGTGAACTAAGACCAATAAGGTTTCAGAGCTAGACATCAGGGAGTGATGCTTGATGAGTTAGTGTGTTGGTAGAGCTGCAACATAGAGGTGAGTCTTACCTGTTTGGCTGGAAGGAGATACGGTCATAGCCCGTCACTTCACAGAGGTCCGTCTCCAGCTGTCTAAAGAGAATCTGGTAGCCATCAGCCTGATCCAGAGGCACGAAGGGGTGGATGTTGGCAAACTCCCTCCAGGTGATTGGCTAAAGAAGAGAGAGGACAGCAGTGAGTGGGAAAGATTGCAACTTTCCAAAACAACTTCAGGTTGAGCTCGACAGTTCATTCCATGGAAAAATGGCGTTCCTCAGTGGATGGAGTTGCGCAGATGATTTTGTGGTTTACATACTTTGGTCACATGACAACAAATAAACATGTCATGAGAACTTCCTGACAAACTAACTTCATGGTAGCTTTGAAGATATCTTATTTGTTCTTAAATGATTTACCATGAGCTCCGAAGAGCTGTTCAGCTTCATGGTGCAGGAGCCCTAAAGAAGAAAACATTTTACCATCACACAACTTTAACTTGTGAATTTGAATTGTTTGCTAATCTGAATGTCTTAGTAAATCAGGTTGTACCAACCAGTGGTATCATGCTGTGCACCAGGGAAATGTCCTTGTTCTCCAGGCGCTTCATGTATCGCACAATGTTGGTCTCGGAGTGATAGCTAATCATTAACCAGGAAGAAAGGATTAGGATTAACCGATTTCAGATTGAGCACAATTAAGTGATGGAAAAAAAGACTTGGTCGAATATCCTACAAACACACTTAGTAAGCAGACTACTTAATACTTTTCAAGTATGTCACAATGATCATGTCAAAGATTAAATGGAGGATTTCTAATACATTGATACCAGTCGGTCTTTATGGCACTAATAAAAGATAGCAGCTCCAGATTTAGCAGCCAAGATAGATGCCCTTGTTACCACTGAGGCCAATTTCTACTGCATGGACTGTTACAGTCATACTGTTCAGTATGCGACATAATACACAATCAAACCATGAACTCTAACCCCATTATCAAGTGCAGCAGGGCTTCCTATCAGACAATTGGTACTACAAAGTCTGAGCACCACATTTTTGTCAGTTATGTAATGTGGTGCTGTCACATCAGGGGGCAAGTGCAACTGTGTTTGACGCCAGGCGATCAATGTGTAAAATCAGATATTTATGGCCCAACATGTCATAAAGACATAAAAGTTGTATCATGTTTGTGCAATTCGTTGTCATTGATATAGTGCTACATTATGTGCTTTAGTGCTGCAATTTAACTTGAGAATACCAACCTGTTAAAGACCTGGTGCGTCAGGTACTTGCTCGTCCTCTTGAAAGGACTTCCCATGATCCCCTTTACTCGCTCACCCATCTTCTCAGCAATCAGCTCCTGCAAATTGAGCATTTCAAAAAGTGGAGTTTTATGTTAAAGCTACGTCTATAAATAACAATCACTATGAAACCTGATAACTACTTTTAAATAACAGATGAAATCTAAATGAGTGAATAAGAAATCAACGTACCGCTGAAGATTCACAACCAAAGACCCAGAGCAAGTCATCCAAGTCCCTCTCAGTCACCATCTCATCCAGCGAGACACCCAGCTGTTGACAGAGACGGTTCGAGACAAAGTTGTTACATGTTTAACAGCATGCGTCTGATCTTAAAGCCTCCATCTTATATCGTATGTTCATCTGGCATTGAGTGACTGAAGTAAGTAAATGCAATATAATTCAGTTAAATAAACAGCGTGTGTCAACATGTTGGGGGAGGACATCTAATAACCGAGGAGGCTTGAGAGATCTGAAATTGAATACGATTTAGACCAAGCATATTAAAGTTAGAAATCATTGAAAAAACTTCATCTCAATATGAATGATAGGTTTACCAAAGCACTCAATAGCCTATATTGGGAGTTTCTATTAGTAAAGAGTTGTCTGACTTGTTAACCATTTAAGAATTAAAAAGAAATTTTAAAAAAAAGCATACCAATTATTTTTGCAACTTTTGGACATTTATCTGGAAATCATAAATTTACATACCCAATTTACATATTTCATAAAGCTCCAGCCTTTTGACTAAATAATGCATTGTGGATGTTAAAAATATTTAGTTAAATTATTTTAGTTTTTATTAATTGACAAAAAGCCTTCTTTTGTTTATTCATGTTGTTAAATGGTTCGTGGTTAGCAAGTTGCCGTTTGTGCATTTCATTGTAATCTTGTCAATGTGTTTGTTGGATATGGCGATGCCCTGTGTATTGCTGCAGTTGTGGATGTTGATGCGGTGATTTTGATCATGTCATCATGTTGCAGTTTGTGGTGCTGTTTCATGTAGTTGTATCAATTTGAAAAGCATTTCTTGCAATTTCCGTCCCAAAAAAAAAAAAAAATATATATATATATATATTAAAAAAAAAAAGGTTGAGTTAGTATATGATCTCCTTACCACTCCGTCAGTGTAAACCCTCAGGTTTATCTCCCTCTGCACAGCTCTTTCAAGGATGTCTTTGGCTGCCACGCTACAGTTGATCTTTAGAGTATCGAAGAACATCTCACTGTGCAGACGATGTCCTGCTCTCTTCAGACCTGAAACAAAGTATGCAATGGAAAAATAACATTTAGCACATTCTTTAAAAGCATAAATAACTGAATAAATGTTTGTTTATCTACAATGTAAGTGAGAACTAGTGCCGCAGTAAGAAACAGCTTGAAGTCAAGCTTAAAATATTAACACACAAATTTACCTTCAGCAAGGATCAGAGCAGCATTGTGTGTCCTCTCAGCGATGTGTTTGAGTCCCTGAGGACCATGATACAGTGCAAACATAGCAGCCATGTTGGCCAGCAGCGCCTAAGAGTCAGAAGTTGAACAAAAGGGATGTTTTAGTTTTTTTAAACATTTAATTACCCAAAAAATAGCACATTTAGAAAAATCTTAATAAAATCTACACTGACAGAAATTCTGAAATGATAAGAATGTGCAAAATGTGAGCTTTCTTATACCTGTGCAGTGCAGATGTTGCTGGTTGCTTTGTCTCTGCGAATGTGCTGCTCTCTGGTCTGCAAAGCAAGTCGATAAACCTCCTTACCGGCGGCATCCCTGAAATGGTAGGTTGGTTTTAAACTGGGTTTTTTTTGTTTGTTTTTTTGTTTTTTTTAAACAGTTTCCTCCATTTGTTTTATTGCTTCTACAATTAATTTCATTCAGGAAATAAAATCTTAGTTCTACAATATTCTGACCGATGAGTGTCTCACCTGGTGACTCCAACCATTCTGCCAGGCATCATCCGGATCAGGTTGTCTTTAACGGCGAAGAAGGCGGCGTGGGGGCCACCGTAGCAGAGAGGAACCCCAAACCTCTGGGAGCTACCCAGTGCGATATCGACGCCAAACTCCCCAGGAGGCCGCAGCACACAGAGGGCCAACAGATCTGTGGCACAGCAAGCCAGAGCCTTGACAGGAAGAGAACCAGAGGACAACCAAATCAATGGACGCAATTACCTTTTGGTCATTAAAAAGGCATCTATTCTGACTAATTTGTAGCAGGTGGTTTGCAGTCATGCCACATATACTTCAGAGATGAGCACTTCCTGTAAAACTACGATCCTACCAAATCATGATAGTGGTTTTATGCACAACCCACCCTTCCATTAAAGCTGTACAAAGCCAGCTCTTCAATGTAAATATACTATGGTGTCATCAGCATAGAACTTTAATTGAAGCTGCTGTAAAAAAGGGCAATCTAGGTGAACTGTATCACTAACTTGATACACCTTGAGAATGAAATTCAGATACGGACAAAGAGAAAGTTGCAAATCTGAGATTGTGTGCCTTTCTTTTGATATAAAGTAATCACAGACTTGCAGAGTCGCCTGAAAGCGGCGGGTTTGTTACGAGTTAACTTGTTTTTGTGGTTAAAGCTCCCTTACCCCTCCCTGGTGCGCCCGGTCCACGAGGCCTGTGAAATCTTCCACCCTGCCATCAGTGTCTGGATACTGGAAGAGCACACCGCTCACGTCTTTCCCGCTGAAGTCCATCTCATGAGGAAGCTTCAGCACCATCTTCACCCCGATATAGCTGCAACATGACAGTGACAAATTAGAGGGGAACTAAGAAATATAGGTGTATACAATACATCCTCTCAAAAAGAAAAGCAGTGTGTAGGTTTTTTTTTTTGCATTTTAATACCATAAAAGGAATGTTTCACTAAAGAGTAGCTCAATAGTTATCAATGCAATGGTTTTGTTTTTCTTGTTCACTTAATTGATTTCTTTATATAGAGCTCATGCATTGATTGTGTGCAATACATACTTGGCTCTGGTCTGCACCACAGCAATGGTCTGGGGATGGCAGCGTGGGTCAATGTAGAAGGTTTGTTTTTTGTTCCGTCTGTGAAGAGTAAAAACAAATAACTGGTCACAATCACATGTTTATGTATCGAAAATGTATGCGTTTGCTTAGTTTCTTCTTGTGGCCAAGCTGCAACTTATTACTGAAGTGTAACAGTTATCTTAAATTCCTATGATTTGATTCCATCGCACAGCACAATAGGAGTAGGACTAAAGACTGTTTTGTTTTTTTGACATCACTGCTCGTTGTTGTGATCAGCTTGTAAATACCTGTGGCAGAGCTGCATGGCCTCAGCAGCAGCCGTTCCCTCGTCGAGCAGGGAGGCATTGGCCATTTGCATGCCAGTGATGTCGCAGATCATAGTCTGGTAGTTGAGGAGCGACTCCAGGCGTCCTTGAGACACCTCGGGCTGGTAGGGTGTGTACTGAGTCACCCTGAGGACAAGCAAGTTTGGACAAAAAGTTGGTGGTATTCAGGGTCCAAGGATGGCCGATTTGGATTTGCACGAAAGAATTTTGTTCAGCAGAACAAAGTATGCAGATTATGCAGGAGAGAAGCATTTCATCAGCTCTCACGAGTCACAAGGATTCCTATTAAGGACACGATGCTCTGCAGCACAGTAGATACGTTTTAAATCAGTAACCACACTTTAAGAATAAACATCATTAGGTTTCTGTGCGGAGAGGAAACAAGCTCCCTGCGCTTTCAAATTTCCATCAGGTTTCGTTTAAGCGAGGGTCACCTGAAGTCACTCACCAGCCTGAATTCTCCAGGAGATTACGCTGGATGGGCGGCGGTACCAAGCAGTTGTAGTAGCCCATGCCGATGTAGGACCTCCATACTTTGTTTTTTGATGCAATCTTCTGTAGATTGTCCAGAATTTCACTCTCACCTGTAAAATATGTCATTTGTGATTATATAAAAAAAAAAAAAAAAACTAAAAAAAAAACAATTGGGCATGACACTACATGATAGTGTTGAGGACGTTAAAAACAGAATCCAAAAAACAAGAGTGATTTCTCTATATATTTTTCTATGCTGCTCATAATACATACTGCTCATCGGCTCGCAATACTAGTAGATAGAAATATTGTGTTAAACGGATTTTTGGCTCAATGTAATTAAGTAACTTCCTGACGCATCTCTTCAAATTCATTTGATAAAACAAAAACAGACATTCCTCTCTGGTTATTTTATGTCTTAGCTTTTCTCAACGAAATATATGTTGTAATATAAAACATATACAATAGTACACTTTCCATTCATAATCACCCAACTGTACTATGGATGCATGCGAGCAAAACCACAAATACAAATTCTTCGACAAAGTAATTAGAAAAGACTGTTTCAGTACTACGGTATCGGGAACATTGATTAAATCACAAGCAGTCCCTGACCTTATGTTATCGTACCTAAAATGATCAAGAGTGGAGCGGGGAAAGTAGACTTTTAGGTTAGGAGAAAGAGAGCGTTAGGATATCTGCCAATATTGATTCCTGGTACTCGGTTGAGGAATCTCAGATAACATTGGTTTTAATGTAGGATTATACATAAAACAACTATGCCTTTTAAAAAGTTTGCATAAATAATAGAATGGTAAACAAGATGTGCCGCACCATCTGAAGAACAGCATCGAGTCTTTCATGCGAGGACCTGATTAGTTAACTAATAAAATAAAATAAAGACCAGTGCGGCATGCAGTCCATCAGAGCTGCCACACACAGTAACCCTCCTACTGTACCTAAAATAATTAAAAATACATATTTTTCAGAGTAAAACTGAGAATATAATGTCAGCAAAATATAACATGGACAAAAGCATGTTACAGTTGAACTTGGGATGAGAAAACAATGCCATATAAAGACTTTTTTTTTTTCAGCTCAGAAGCATCAAGAGACTGACTACACCCATGGTTTCTCTCTCTCTCTCTCTCTCGATGGCCAGTTATTTAGCCTCATTCCCCGGTGCTCTAAGGAAGCGCTACCAATGCACAACCAGCCTCTGAGATTCCTCTGGCCTTCCTGGCTGCCTAGCAACTCCAAGGAATGGACAATACCGCCCGTCTGAACCGAGAGCCCCAACTACTCCTGTTTTTGCAGAAGAAAGACGTCTAAGTCTTTGGTGGTGAGAGGGACTGTAGCCAGTATACGAGGGGATATTTACAGCTTCTTCTAAACGGTGCACAGTCTCAGTCTGGAGGTGGTGAATCAGCGAAATTCAGTACAAAAGAAAATGTATAAATTGTGATAAAGGATTATCAGCAGGTTCAGGGTGAGCCGATAGTGTGTATTTTGTGTGTGTGTGTGAGAGTTTGTTTCAGTAGGGGAGGACTGCTTTCCCATGGTCCTGGACTTCTACAGGGCAGCAGAAAAGCCTGATTCAGAACCATCCAGGACCAGGAGGTCTATTGTTGGAGAGAGAATCCCTTGCTGGCTTTGCAAACTGAAGCCCTCCAAAGCTGAACAAGCAGAAAACCAGCACTGCCTCCAGTTTGTTCCTTCAGCATGGCTTGTTGCATCATCAAACCTGACATTTTTTAAACAATCTTTCATAAGTGTTGGGTTTTCCAGTGGCTCTCTGGTGTTAAAGCCGACTGTTTCACGGAAATGATCTCAGACAAAACAAGCTATTTGTATATTTTTTTTATGTTTGTACCCCAAACAGTAAATGAATGAATTGAGAAAACATTCAGCAGATTAACCGATAATGAAAGGAATTGTTAGTTGCAACACCTTTTTTACGTTACGCCTTGTGCTTGCCATATTTGAAGAGTTTTGTGTCAGGTAACCCACAACAATGGAACCGATTTCATTACATTGAAGACCAATTTGATTGTGTTAAATAAAATATTGCATATAGTTGGAATATCATGATATAAAAACACAAGAAAATATGTTCTCAATACTGCTGAGATGATGATTTCATCCATGCTGCCCACCCCATTGTATTCTTTTCATTTTGCACAGCCCCACAAAACTGCTGCTGTTACAGAGGGGTTATATCTGCTACTAAAGTCAATCTATTTCATTTCCTCGTTTCATTTACTGGAAATCCCCTCTGATAAAACAACCTAATTCCCCAGTCTCCATGTGTCCTTTTTGTCGTTTGCTTTGTTTATTTTAAGAAGAAATGAGCCAAAACAAACGGTAAGACTGTGTGGTGATGAAATGCACATTTTTGAACTGGAGAAAAGAAAGAAAAAACACATCCCGGCAAATCCCCATGCAGAACATACCCAAGTCACCTTATTAGGAAGCCCTTCGGCTGTGATGTAATGTGAACGCTGTAACCAGATTGAACTGGACTTGGGGACCGGAGCTCAAGGCTAAACTTTACACTCCAGTTGCCATCCTATGAGCATCGGCTTCCCAGCAGGAAATTGGTGCCGCTCGCCGAGTTTCGCAAAAACAACTCCAAATATGTTCAAAGGAAGACTTAACAGGGGAGAGCGGTCCACGGCAACACAATAGAGAGGCAACCTACATTCCAGCCACTCACTTGGCTTCATTTAACTGACGGTTTAATGTGCGAAAAAACCTCACTGTGCAAAAATATCTGGAGACGAGTGCGATAAACGCACCGTTTTTACATGCTTTTTGATGATATTTAGCATTTTAAATCGGGTTTTGCACATTTAGGTCGAGGTTGATGTTGCAGCCTTTCGCCATTAGAATGTCACATAAAGATGTAATTATATCAATGATAAATACTCTAAAATGAAGGTAAACTTACAGACTGGGTCATCCATTTTCATACTCCGCTGCATTCGGATTGAGGAGGGAACGGTGTCGTTCATCAACTGGTCGAGCGACTGTGGGGGAAACAAATATATGAAAAGCGTGCAAACATGGCTGTTAATGCAGAATAATATCAATATACTGCTCAAAACAAGTGACTTCATGCTGGAATTTGGCTTAATAAATTGGAAAAGCGTATTTTGTGCCCAATTTGGTGGGGGTAGGAGTAGGCTAGTGAATCTTACCTCGACTCCCAGAGCATCCAGCATTTCTCTCTTCTCCCTCTCACCTGGGCCAATGTGCCTCTCTGCAAAATCATCATGTCTGGGTAATGTTCTCTCAATCTGTCTGGAGGAGACGGCCGCAGACGTCCTCAGGCCCCGGGCGGGTGTTAGTGAGGATGCGCCGCTGTTTCGGATCCTGCACTGAAGTTTCCAAACCACGCGGCTCTTGTCACTCAGATGCCTGCATGGTGCGCTGGGATTCACCGACTTGGCCAAGAAAATGCCCCAGGACTTGGCGCAGCTCTGCATCTCTAAATCACTTTGCAAGACAAGTCTGCAGAAACTAGTGAAGCCTTTTTTTTTTTTTTCCCCTCCCCTCACACGGCAGAGTTTCCCCCCACTGAGACGGATGCGATCCCTGCAGGAGAGTCTGCCAACTCCTTCAAACTGCAGAGTTTATACAACTGCACCGTTGCACAAGAGCGGACCAATCAGAGCGGAGGTGCTGCGTGACGCAGTGACGAGCCCCGATCAAACAGCTGCTGAAGTTTCTCGCGTGCCCACTAACCTAGAACAAATAAAAATAAAAGATCACTACAGATATTTTAAGAGCAAGTCATCTTAGTGATCATGTGCGTGGCCAAGAGGGTGAAACGCTGCAGGAGAAATGGGACGGTAACCTACACTATGGCACCCAAACCTTCTGGGCATTTACCCAATGGCCAATAAAGTGACAGGTTCATTCCTAAACGAAAACATACCTCGTATCACACCACATGCTGTACAGAATGTGAAGCCCCTGGAGGCAAATGTGTGATTCATGATGTGAGGCTTTATAAATAATTTGAACTTGAGGTCGTTTTAATGTTATAAGGACAAACTGCTTGCTGACGTGTCATGCAAACTAGTTTTCATCTCTTCTTTCCATTCTTTAAAGGTGGAATGCTAAATATGAATTATGGTTTATTGCTTCATAACTGTGAATAAAAGGATTGAGTCCTCCAAAATGCCCCCCAACAACTGCTGTTTACACAAGCCACTTGTAAACATATCAGCCATAAACATGAAAGTCTGCAGGTCTACGAGAGGACACCTCAGAGATTAGGCCTTCTGATTGCACCTATGAAAGTTGAGCCACACTCAAGTTTTCAGGGAGGCATGTGTCTCAACATTGAAAGGTGAAGAGGGAACACAAATGCATCATCAGCTGCGCTGAAAAAAAACACGCAAACACCATATATTTGGTTAATTCACACTTGCATAGTGCTGTTAATTCTGTACCCAGGAAAAGGACACACAAAAATCATTTATCTAGAAGACATGGCCAAATTAAAAGCTGCATTGTTCCGTTTACATTGTTGTCTGCTCCCTGCATCGTGGTCTGCAATAACAGTTTCACTGTATGTGAATGAAAACATACTCTGATAAGGGGTATTCATAATTTAAAAAGCAGCTTGCTTGTTAGATTCAGAAGCCAGGTCAAGGCAGGATTACACTGTGAATGTGGCTGTCAGTGTTATGTTCAGCCATATCTTTTCCTTAAATTAACTATGTAATAAATAATTCAATTTAAGAAACAATTATGGTTAGGTGAGACACTGACAAAAGGTGTCTTTTCACACATGAGGTCTGATATCCAATAATGCAATACTGTTGCACTATAGCCATTCTTCCAGCTGATTCTGCTCAAAATGGCCTCTTGATTTCTAGCAATCTCTCGGACAGTAAAATGATTATTTTTGTAAACTCAGGGTTAAATACCACAGTGGCATATTGAGACAATTTGAGATTGTTGTAGCTTTAATCGAGTAGCAATTTGTTTTGTGGCAGCAGTTAAGCCATGAATTAAAACAACAGGGCGATGAGATACAGATACATAAACTTAACAAGCATCATCTTCCGGATGCTGTTAGATATACTAATCCTTCAGTTTAAGTGTCGTATTTGAGGTTAATTTGGGCCACGGCATACTACATTAGATGAAACACACAATCCAAGCACTGAGTAAAAAGAAAGATAATAAAAACGGACATTGACTAAACTTGATACATCAGACTAGAAGGAAGGCCAGTATTAAGACATGCTCGCGATGTGGCTCCATGATAGCAATGTCAAACAGTTGGTTACCACTTCGATCCAGACTCAAATATCTCAACAACTATTACATGGATTGATAATAAATTGTAAACATACCTTCTTGGTTACCAGAGGATGAAACGTAACAACTTTGGTGATCCTGACTTTTCCTCTAGCACCACCATGAGGTTCACCAGTGTGGTTACACTTGTAACCACACTGGTGATCCTCTGACTTTTCATGTATGTAGTCTCATTAACAGGTCAAATTTCTAATATGTTTTTTGAGTAAATACCTGCAAAACTAAAGACATTCCCATCTTCCCCAGCTGTACTTTGTGTTTAGTGCTAATTAGCAACTAGCATCATTTGTCCAATTATAGCCTCACAATGCTGCTAGCATGACTGTTGACTCTTTTTATCTTATTTGACAAAATAACAGAGATTCCTCAAAATGCTTTCAATAAGACCTGCATATCAACGTCTGTTATTAATTCAGTCATATATAAGCTAAGAAAGTGTACGGTGTTGGTGTTTCTTCACTCATCAGGGACACTGGATGACTCAGAGACCCAGAGCTGGACAGGCAACCTGACAAAAACAAAGTTGTTATTTTGTTGTCACACTTTCTCTTCCCAGAATTGGAAACTGCTATTTCCAGGAAACTATCTCCTCTGTAGGAGTATGCTCTGGCTGCCAGTAACTCAAGTCCTGGTTTACAGCTGCCTTCAAACTCCAGTTAGACACTAGGATCAAAACAAACAAGTTTATACTTCAAGAACATCAGACACCTTGGACTAGAAATCATATATCTCTAACTTACATAACTTTGCCTAACTGGTCCAACCTGTTTACCTTTTATTGAATGCAGATCAAAACATCCTACTGCACACTGCGGGTTAGGGTTAAATGAGATCAGACAACCTCAAGTTCAGTAGAGCAGGAACATCATTTGGCTAAAGACAGTTAAAGGCACAGTGTGCAGGATTTAGGGGGATCTCCAATTCAATTCAATATATTTTGTAACGCCCAACATCATCAATCACAAATTTGCCTCAGATGGCTGAACAATCTGTACACATACGACATCCTCTGTCCCGGGACCTCCCCCAAACTCCCCCAAACCTTTAATGGGGAGAAAAAAAGGGAAGAAACCTTAAGGAGAGCAACAGAGGAGGGATCCCTCTATCAGAATGGACAGAAGTGCAATAGATGTCAAGTGTAGACAATGAACAACATAACAGAGTTACAACACATTCAACGCATACGATGTAAATGATTCATCAAATGAGAGTAGTCTATTAGAGCGATCTATTAGCAGAAATTAAATTGAATAGCTCGGTTTGTATTAGTGTATAAACACCTAAAACTAAGAACTGTTATGTTTCATTTAAATATAATCTAAATAATCTCATATCTAAATAGGGAGAAGTCCTCTTCCACAGAGTCTACAGCAGCCCAGAACAGACAGCCTTTCTACTTTTTATGTTATTGTAGGCCATCGTAGTTCCCCAACAGGTTTGGGGAAACAGCAATAGCATGAGCAGCAGAGTGGAAAAACGCAAGCCGCTGTCTGACTTCCATTACTCCTTAAGTAATGTTGTTACGTTAAGGACGGCCATGGGGTGAGGGCTGGTCTGCAAACGCACTGCTAGATGCAACAAAATATACACACTGTGACTTTAATACTGCAAAAAGTAGAATAATGAATACTCGGTCAGCAGACTTTTAGGGAAAGTCGTCCAAAATATGCAAAATGTGTGGTGCCAAGAGTAAATTGTACGATGGTAATTATTTATAGGTAAAACCTGGTTAAAAAAAAAGTACCTTTGTTCTTCATTTTCTTAATTCAACATTGTTGGATAAGTGAATTAAAGTGAAGGGGGTGTGGCTAAAACCCAGACACGATTAGAATAAATTATTAATACATTTGAATGTCTGTCTGCCATTAAAAAGCCGGCAGAGACAAACCAGTTTGTCGGTATGAAAATACAACCTCGGGTGTTAAATGTTTATTTTCTTTGGTCATAAGCTCACTCACAATTGTATCATTTCTCATTTTCACTCTTTATCTAATTGTTTTTCATGTTTTATACAAATAAACTGTTGCTTGTAATATTTGTAATTTTTGAATCAGTTCCTATAATTTCTAACATTTAGTAAATCTTTCTTGAGACAAGATCCAATAAAAACCTTAAATATGAAAATCTAAATATAGCTGAGTGAAATTACACACAGAGATTAAGATTGTGGGCAGTTTGTGAGAAACTCAAACCAAACACAAAGGAAGAAGAGAGTGAAAACAGTTGCTGTGTGTTTGATTTGGTTACTACAGTTGCTCAAATATGGACTGATAAAAAGCCTACGGATCAACAAACGGATTAAATATTATCAGTACTGTGTGAGAATGGTAAATAAAAGGGATTGCTTTAATGCAGGCCACAGGTGGAATGGTAGAGTCAGTCAGTCCAGGTAAAACAAGCATTTCCCCTCTTTAATAGGACAATCGGCAGCAAACGTCTGCTATCAGCAGCTTTGTTCTTCTCTCTGTGATATTCACCCGGAGATTCAGATATGGGTTTGATGAGCTGCTTCTGGGAACGACATCAGTTTCTACTGCACCAATGTTTTTCACTTCCATTCGCATTTTTGTTTTTTTTCCTTGCTAAACGGGGATATCTGTCCTTGACATGCAGGTATGTAATTGAAAAATCGATGAATTTGTATTATATGCCAAACTAACTTTTCAAAGAAATGTGTCACGTTATTGTTATTCCTGGAGCCTTATGCTCTTTATACTCTATACGCATTTGGATTTAAACATTAGGTTTGTGAAGTTGGATTTGTAAATCAAATGAAATGTAAAATAATCGGTTCAACCGGAACATAAGTCAACAGCAGGACCACAACAACAGGGTATTCAATACTGCAGACATTTTATACTTCTTTTATCTCATATTCATTTGTTAGCATTTTATTTATCTGACTGTATTTTTAACTTCTCCACTACAGCAATTTGTTGTTGTTAAATGTTTTCTTTAAATAAATATATTTAACAAATATTAAATAAGTGCAACTAACAATCATTTTCATTATCAATTATTCTGCAGATAATTTATGATTGTTTGCCCTATAAAATATCAGAAAATGGTCATTACATTTTCAGTCTTTGTTGATCTCATAAGATGTCTTGTATTGTCCCACTAACGGTCCAAAAGCCAATTATCTTCAGTTTATAATGATTTAAAAACAGCAAATCCTCATATTGGAGAAGCTGCAACCAGCAAACTTTTGCCATTTTTGCTTAGAAAGTAGCCTAAACGTTGAATCAATAATTCCACCTACAGGTACGTGTTTGTTTGTTTTGGTGGATGCGTCCTGGCGGTCGTCACAATGGGCATCTACAGCTCGCTTCTCTTCACCTCCACCATGGTCTTTATTCTGCTGGTGTGCTCTGTGGATCCCAGCTGTGTCCACGCCTGGGTGTTTGGTATCCAGATGTTGTGGCAGACTTTCTGGCACCTGCTTATTCAGTACAGGGAATACTACCTACATGAGCCGGTCAGCATCAGGTACTAATCATAAATCAGCTCTTCGGTATATAAACTGACATGTTCATGCTTTTGAACCCTCTGGATATAACATGAATGCAGACAGTTAAACATGCTTTGAACTCAAGTTGTTGAATGACATTTCGCTCTGTGCTCTGGGAAAAAAAACACATGAAATGCATACAAATATTTCAACATGAACTCCTCCACTTTCAGATTGTTTTGGGCAGTGTCCTCTTTGATGCTGCTCACTCAGAGAATCACCTCAGTGTCCATGGACCTGCAGGAGCAACGAGTTCGGCTAACACTCAATGCTTCATCCAAAAGGAAGGCTTGTGCGACGCTTCTCCCTCTTGTCAGCTACATCTTCAATTTCACCACACTGCTCGGAGGCCCTTTGTGCTCCTACAGACGATTTGTGTCCTTAATGGCGGGGATCAGCCTTAACCCTCCACCTAATCCACTGGGTTTGGTCTTCTTAAAACTGATGCAGGTGTTACTGCTGGAGTTGGTAAGGTACTGTCTTGTCCATTTTCTGAACACCTATGATCCCTCCAACTCAATCGCTCTCTATGGCATCCTGTGGGTTTTGGGTCTGGCGGGGACTTTGAGGATTCAATATTATTCTCACTGGAGGATCAGTGAATGCCTCAATAACGCAGCTGGGTTTGGCTTTTGGGTACATTCACCAGGAGACCCCCCAGACTGGCGCGGACTATCCGATGGAGATTTCTGGACCATCGAAGCGTCGAGCCGTATGTCAGAGTTTGCCCGTCGATGGAACGCCACAACAGCTTCATGGCTGCGTAGACTGGTGTATAAAAGGTGCAAACGTTTCCCGTTGTTCATGACTTTTAGTTTCTCACTGTGGTGGCATGGTTGTCATTTAGGTCACATTGTGGGAATTTTGACCTGGGCAGCAACGGTGAAGGCAGATTATCATATACACAGCTACCTGTACCCAAAAGTCTCGCCAATGTGGAGGAAAATATACGCTTGTTTAAGCTGGATTAACACTCAAATGTGTGTTGCTTGTATCGTTACAGCAGTAGAATTAAGAAATATGTCTGGTTTGAGACTTTTGTCCAAAACATACATAGGTCTGTTTCCCCTTTTTAACATAATTCTGCTCTTTATCTTATTAAAACTCAACACAGTTTAGTAATGTAATCCTGTGAACTACGACAGGCTTGTTCTGTCATTTAAATATATGAATGGACTTCATGTCGTCTTACTGTACTGTGTTTTGATGTTGTTGTTGTTGTTGTGCGGAAAAGCTGTTATTCACAGCGTAGCGATGGATAATCATATTCAATGTGTCATTTTGATATTGCCACTGAAATAAATAACACCCGGTCATGTGAGAGAGCAGGCCTGAGGCAGCTTTTAGACTATGTCATCACCCTGCACATGTACGTCATGGTTAAGTGTGATAATCTAAAAAAAAACTCATTAAAAAAAAATTGGCAGCATCCAATTCCATCCAGCAATCTCAGAGTTCAACAGTTTACTTCAACAGCTTATTGAAGCAATCTCAGACAGGGTGTGTTCAGACAGAGGCTGAAGTAAACAAGTCACTCATGAGAGAGTGAAAATAAAGACTCAGATATTTTTCTCAATAATTGGAAATTAAACCAAACAACCAGTAAATACTACCTACGGTGGCCACTTGTCGGCTCTCTAGTGGTAAAAATTGTTAATGCAGCTTTGAACATAAACAACACATTATGCATGTTTATTGTGACTACATGTTGTTTTGCGTTTATTTGTGCAGCAACTGGAGGTCCACTTAGCAGCATTTGAAGATAGAGGTGAATTATATTTGTATGTACTAGGAGGTGTATTATTTAATAATTTAATTTCAACAATATTCATTGAAAGGACATTTTAAAGCTGTAAATGTTTTCATGAGCAAAGAAATAAATTTAAAATTTAAATTTAAAATCACACAGCTTCTGGTAGGTCTTTTTGTTGTCTCATGGGGCTTCGTCCAGAATTAAAAACCCAACATTGTAGCATGTGATTGTGATGTTCTGTAAATTGTTCTGCTGATCTCACTTATCTGACCGCTTCGTCGTTTTGCAGCAAAGTCTCTCTTCTTTCTTTCCACAAATTGCCGGCAACAATGCCTAAAAGTAACAACAGTCCGAGGTTTCTGTTTGAGGAAAACTTCTTCCAGCAGTCCTCTGGTCTGTTAATGTCCAATGAGTAAATCTATACGAGAGGAGAGGAAATATCACGTTTTAAATGGAATGTTAGAGACTCAAACTGATAAACTGTGATAACATCCCACTGTGGAATGAAACTGTACCATACGTACTGGAATAATCAACCCTTTGGCAGAGAGCCTTCAGGCTACACTGTACAACAGCATGTTCCTCACCTGATACGTTAGGTGAACGGCCACTGTGGACAGTACAGCATAGTAAGGGAGAGTCTGTTCAGCATTGACTCCAGTTACAACCAGTCCTGACATCATGGCCACCATGAAGCCACTGAGCCACGGTTTGGTTTGCTCATGAAACCTCAGTGCAGTAGATTTGACTCCTATCTTCATGTCGTCCTCCTTATCCTTATTATCAAACAGAGAACAATCAATATTAGACATTACGGTTATAATTAAGGTTAAAAAGTGAACAATTTTTTCCACATTTTCTGCTAAATGTGAGTGCCTGAAAATGTTCATGTCATTGCTTTCTATAAAACATAAAGTAGAACAGCAGAGATCTGTGGAGCCCCATACGTCACCTGATGTGCATAAATTGTGTCATATATCAGCGTCCACATCACTCCTGAGAAATACAGCGGGAGGCATACGGACCAATCACAGAAGCCCTTGACAGCAGACCAGCCGAGCAGCGCTCCCCAGTTAAAGGTGAGGCCTAAACAGAAGTCATGGAAGACACATGAGACCGACTTTAGTTTTGCTGATGGGAAGGATTTTTAGGCTGCAGTCACACCAAAATCAGGCTGTGTGGCGATTAGCACCGTGTTGTCACTTAAATGGTCCATTTGATTTGAACGGTCCATTGATCACTGTATACGTGACCGGTCACCGTAGCGTAACGTCGGGTTGTGACTCTTCACAACCCGACGTTACGCGTCTTTTTTTGGGCATCTCCTGCGAGCCACACTTCCGCAGCATGAACGCACTTACCACATTCAAGAACGCATGATTTGGTGTGAATGCAGCCTTGGTTTTACATGTAGAACACCACAGGAGAACCGTATACAGTACATACCCAACACAAACTGTGGCCAATAGGTGATCCTCTTCATCAGCGGGTAGGAGATGACAAGAGATAAAGAGGCAGCACCCAAAGCTATGCTGTAGAGAGCATTATGAAAACTGTGAGTCAAACAATGTTGAGCCTTTAGATATAAAAACAACTTTGCTGTTTTGTCTTTGTGTGTCTGTATTCTAACATATAGTACTTGCTCTTGTACATTAACAGACTGCAAGTAACGCAACTGGTGAAGAGTTTCATCCAGTGTTTAAACCCCTAACCCTAAAACAATAGTTAGGTGCAAATATGAGCGTTGCAATATGTTGTGCTTGGTTTAATCATTCCTCCTTTTAAACCCCAAAACACAGCAACATTACCGATGATCTAACTATGGGACAGCAGGAAAAATAATGTCTAAAGTTTTTTGTCTGACCTACACACTTGGTAATTTGTTCCATCTATGTTTCTGTAATGTTCCTAAACTGATGACTATACAGAACTAATGACAACATGAAGATCACTGGGTACCTGTAATAGTTGAGACACAAGAGAACCCCGAGTGCCAGTGAAAGCTGCCCTCCTAAGAACACCAGTGCCTGCCTCTGAGAAATCTCTCCTGATGCAATGGGTCGAGTTGCCGTACGGGCCACCTGCACAAAAACATCAACACTTTCATTAAGTGAGTTCAGAAATCATATTAGGAATGTATACTTCTTGCCGTAGTATAGTAGTATGGAGGGTGGTATTTGCTGTGGCTATGCGAGTGACGGTATCATGGCTTTGAAAACACGGTATTTATGGTTATCAACGTAAATGGCTATACATTAGCTTCATATACCTTTTTGTCAAAGTCTTTATCCCACATGTCATTGATGGTGCAGCCCGCTCCTCTCATCAGCAGGGCACCTGCACCAAACAGGGTGAGCATGCCCAGATGTGGGAGGCATCCGGGGTCGGCAGCCAGAGCAATGCTCCATGTACACGGGAGGTAGAGCAGCCATGTCCCTAAAACACACACACACGCGTTTATATTATTTTAATGTATACTTAAATATTTTTTTCACATTCTAATTCCAATGCCTATATATTCATAACCGTTAAAAGTGAACTGCTCTTTGAAAGGATGCGCTTGCATTATTTTTATATTAATATCATACAGTGGCATACAATGATCTTGAAATTACAATATCATCGTTTATCTCAATTATTTCTGGGATGATATATCCTCCAACAAAAGCAGTTATCGTGACACACCATCACTCAAGTGAACTAAACAAGAGATTAGGATTTGAGAGTATAAGCAAGAACACAGACTTGGGTTAGGTCAATGTGAGTGGCAATGTGAGGGGAAGAACATCACACTTTAAGTTATAAAAGCAGATATAAACGTAGGGATGCATTAATATGGGTTTTGAAGCCGATACAAATAATCTTTCATAGCACATACCACTTTTAATATAAACTTTGGAAAATGCTCTTGGATAATGCAGCTGAAAACCAAGTCCTTTTCAGTCCGTCTATCTTAACGTCATTGTGTGTTTTCTAATACACAATCATATTCTCATGAAGTTGGTTTTTACACAACTGGGTTAATTACTCCCAAAGAAAGATCCCAAACAAAATGCAGATTAGACAACGTTCCAAGTATCTGCACTAAAATAATGCAGAACCAATCCCAATATTGCTTTTTAAAACCAATATTTATATTATATCCACACACAGCATCAGTCTTTGTATAACATTAGGTTACAGATAGATGTGATGTACTCACCAATAGGTTTGTCCAGCCTCATCAACCGGAGGTACGGCTGGACAGGACCGGGTGCTGAATTCACAACTGTGGCAGCTGATAAACTGAATGATCTTCTCCCATATTGCCGTGTTGCGTGTGGTCTGAGTGAAGGGTGCAAAACCCTCTGGCCGTAAAGTCCTCTCTTCAACACGCTGGAATCTGAGTGGAGACTCGTCCCATCTCTAGTCCTCCCTCCTTCTGTGTGAAGGAAGACGTTCGACAGGGAGCAAAGAGCTCCATGATAAATCCTCCTCAGGGTGTTCAGAGTTAACTGGCTGGTCAGCTTGGCCGGGAACATGGTGTTTCTCCGGTAATGTCCTCCCTAACACACAAATGAAACCACACACACACAATGGCTTGTCAATGGCTTTTTCACAAAGGAGGACTGATTTGCTGCAACAGGCATTCCTTTTGTGTCAGAGTGAATCAGCTGTACAAACACTGAGATGTTAGTGTGTAATGCCGTCTTCACCTCAGATCCCACACATCTTGAAAATAAAAACACCGAAATCAGATTTGTGTTTTCTGATTTCAGCTCAGCATTCAACAAAATCGCCTCCAGTGAAACTGAGTTTTAAATGTAGCAATCTGGGCATGTGTACCACGATGTGCCCCTGGTTATTAGACTTCCTCACAAACAGACTACAGCTGTAGCATCACACACAAACTGACATGGTTGTCCCACATCTCCATCCTCCATAAATTGCTGTATTACTTAAGGAGACTTATTAAGAGAAAACTATTAAAAGACAATAACCACCCAGCCTCAGCCTTCACAACTGCCGTAACTTAACACCAGACTTTCTGGCCGCTTCTTTCTGTTTTTATTTTGTTATGAAGCAAAATGACACTACGAAGTCCATTTCTATGACAGTTGTACATGCGTGTGTTAGCCACAAACCTAATTTGCTAGCTTAAGTTACCGCGAGCTATTTCAAACGATCTGTATCAACGTTAACTTGTCTTGAAACCCAATAAAGTGAAACAACTTACACTGTGGGTTAAATAAAACATTAACGGAGACTAGCCATTACACAGGTGGCTTATCGGTCACAGTTGCACTGCTTCTTCTTCTTCTTCTTCTTCTTCTTCTTCGGTGCTTGGCATCCAGTTTATTGGTGCATGAGCGCCACCTTCTGACCAGCCAATAGACTTAGAATATTTCCCGAAAACAAAACAAACAAAAAGTAATAAATAAATTAAAAATACCACACATACCATATTAAACTATATATTTATCCTAAATGTGTTATATACTAATACTTTTACTTTTAATACTTATTTAATTAAAAGTATTAATGATGTACAATGTCTTGTAGATTGGGTAGAACACTTTTACTCCTGTAATTCCATATTTTTTCATTTATGCAAAAGATTGATAATAATAAATATTTAGGTATAAATATGCAAGTAGTATTTTAAAATTGCAGCTGGTGGGTGGATTTTTACTACAGTCTATAATGTTGGGTGGATTTATGTGACATCTTCAACAGCAGCAAAATATACCTGCTGTAAAATATATGCAGTGGAGTCAAGTATCATGTAGCACAACATGGAAATACAAGTACAAGCAGCCTACTTCAAAGTGTTTACGTGACATGTATTTGATTACTTTCCACCATTGTAATTAAGTTGATTTAAAACCCTTTTGTACAATATTTAAGTAAAATAATGATTCGTTTTCATACACAGATGTTGACTAACTCGTTTATTCTCTTTTTAAAGCAAGAAAATATAATATCCACATGTGTAAAGTGAGCTAAAATAAAATGTTGCTTCGTAAAATATAAAATCTGAGTGCATGATAAAATACTGCATTATAAAAGTATATCTATTAACACAAATGTTATTTGTACCCCACTCTAACCCATACATTTCACATTATGAGCAGTTCTAAATTTGCACATTCAAAGGCAATACCCTAATTTGTACAATAACATCTCTTGGTTTTGGCATGTGCATTGTCTTCTTGCATTATTTTGTTCCATGTGATGATGCTTGGCAAACAGTGCGGAAAGCATACATCTTATCATTATTTTTGTTTGTGTCAAAGTAAGACACAGGTTTTACCAGCAGATGTAAACATCATAACATTCATATGAGCTATAAAATGTCTCTGCAAGCAGAGGCTCTGTCAAGGGTTTGTGTCTCTCACTCATCCTTCAGCCTTCTGGCTGTCCTCAGGAGAGCCAGAGGAATAATGAAAGATGCTGATGTGAGAAGAAAACAGGTTTGAGCTCCAGCTATCCAGTAAACTGTGAAGGAAACACAAACACAATTTTACCGTTAAATTGACACCATGCCCAGTTTCCATGCTATTTCTTCAGAATGAGGTATTACAACTGAGGAATTCAAAGATTATTCTCTCAAAAGAGTTAGTGGCTTGTGTGTGCTGCCTAATGTTTCATAAATTGTCAACTAATTTCAGCAGCATTCGATGTTATTACTGCCATCTGGCTTCCTTACCGGAGGATGACACAACTGGTCCCAGTGCTCTGGCCAGGGCACCCAAACTTCGCAGAATCCCCATCACTGTACCCTTCTGGTTGGCCGACCCTGGAGCAATATCCACAGTAGATAATCAGTAACATCATGCACATTCTACTCTAATCAAAATGGGTTGTGAGTTTCCATAAATATGAACTAATAAACAGGCTCACCGTGGTCAGAAACAAGCGTCGACAGGCATGGAACTACTATTGCAGCCGCTGTCACAAAAATAAACAAATTATAAATGACATAAAATGTAAACAAACAATACATTGCATTTAACATAAATAAATACATTCTCTAGATGTAGCTATATGTTATGTTTTACATTTTCATGTCTATGGATATTATCCTGCTGCATACAAACTGTAATGTGTGATTGGTTGTATGTTGTGTTTTATTTTACCTTTATTCAATCAGGTATTCTAATAATAGCAGCTTTTTTTTCTACCTCGTTTTCTAATCTGACTCTACAAAAGTGCATTAAGCCATTGTTTATCAGTTACATTTAACTAATATCACACATTCTTGGGTACAATAAATGGCTTAACTTCTTTTAAGGGGACATACAATATAAAGTGAGCTCACCAAATGAGTATAACGCCAAGCCAGCGTAAAGCATCGTTATATTCCATGAGAGCCCGATGAGAATAAACGCTGGGATTAATGCTATGATTGCCTAAAAAAAATGAGAAACGTGGTTGCTTAAGAAAACAAAGGTGTAGCGGTGGTTCATGTCTTTTCACCATGAAGAGTATTTCACTGTACAGATTTTTGTCATGTAAACAGAAGATGCTCCTACCATTCTAACAGCCATGATATGCTGCCCGGGTTTGATTCTGCGAGCATAACCGCCCTGGATCAAAGCCATGATGACACCAATGAAGAAGAACATCTTTCCCTGCTGCATACTAGTGAGAGAAAAATGCTCGTAAAATTCAAAGGGTTGCCACTCGGGTGCGTTTACTGTAACTGATAGAGCACACAGCTTTATCTTTGAGTTCATACCTTGTAAACTGGAAGCGTTGGTGAGTGAGAAAACTCAGCGTGAACTCCAGACCAGAGAACAGGAAGAGGTAGCAGAAATAAACCAGGCCCAACGCTTGAAGCTTCTGCATTCCTGTAAAGACATTTCCACCTTTTATCTTTCAGTGTTGATTCATGCTTTATATGGGTCAAATGGATGTACGCCTCTTTCCCTACAGAGGAGTTCAGTATGTGCAGTACCCACTTTCTTTTGGAGGCGGATCTTTTGTCCTGGTAACAGCTGAAAAATGGAACAAAGATAATGGGTTCAGGAGGTCCCTGGAGTCCCCGAACCCCGAAGATGAAGCCTAGGATGAAACAAGAAAAACGATCTGTATCTTTTAAAATAGAATAATGTTGTTGTGAGAAAAATAAAGTTTTCAGCCACTAACGAAAATAAACTGGTGTTTAACTTTATCACTGAGTGAAAACAATAACCATGACTCTTACATACGGTATATCCACCAGTGTGTAGTGATGATGCTTTAACCTTTAATTATTGTTTTGAATGAGTATGTTTTGCTGTCACTTGATTTTATGTGAGCTTGCGTGGTGGATTTTTGTGAGGGCATGTATAAACTGCACTTGATTGACAGCTCCCTCACTCTTCTGTTTGCTTTAAGGTACTTGTTATGACAGGACAATGTACACTGATATTGTTCTTAGATCATAGAGTTGGGTGAATGACACCAGGTAATTCCCAGCATAGCTCCACCCAGCTTCGGTCTGACAAAAGGTCGAATTACTTCCTGGAGTCTTGTCAGGAAAATACTGCTTTCAACCAAGAAGTAGTCTGGCACATAACCCCAGATGAAACAACAATAGGCCGTTTTTTTAAACAAGCACAATCTTAAATTGCTTGTTGGCGTATTTTGTTAACTTTGGGCAGAGCCAGACAAGCTGTTTCCCTCTCTTTGCAGCCGTCATACAAAGCTAAGCTAACTGGCTGAAGCTTCACATTTACCGTACAGACATTAGAGAGCGGTACCAATCTTCTGTACCGCTGCACAAAACTTGAGTAAAACTGCAAGTGATTCAGTTTGTCAGTTGGCAGTGTGAATGTTTCGATCGCCAACCTGGACATCCTTTGTGAGCGTCTCTGGCAGCACGACCCAAATAAAGAGCAGATCAGCTACGCTGAAGGCCAAGGCGAGCAGAGCTGGAGTTTGGTAGAAGACAATCCCTGTTGTTCTGGAGCTGAGGGCAAAGTAGGCACCCATCAGAGGTCCCACAGTGAAGCCTAGGGAGAAGGCAATGCCGATCATAGCCTGGTCATAATGAAATTAAAGTTAGATTTTAGGACATTTACCTGAAGGTGAGATACAAAGCTATTAACTGGCAAACAGCACAACAATGAGATTCAAATGGAAACTAGCAGAGCTTGTTTTCATACATGAACCTCCAGCATGCATCACAGCATGCATCACATCACATTATGGGGTTTTTTGGATGCCATATCTTAACAGTAAATTTCCTGTTATGACCAAAGAAAGTATGCGCCTACCATTCCTCGGTTCCGTGCTTTTGGGCAAGGCAAGTCGGCCACGATGGCAGTGCAGAGGCTGACGTTGCCCTTACAAATGCCCCCAATTACCCGAAACAAAAGGAACATGCTGAAGCTCCGGGAAACAGCCCAGACCGCATAGGAGGACATCAGCCCTAACTGGAACACAAGGCACCCAATTAGACCCGAATGAATCACGGCTGATGGTAAAAGCTGCATGGTTTCGTGGAGTGGGGACTGTGCCGAGTCAGTGACTCTAGTGGCTTCCAATGTGAAAAGATACTGAAGTTTATATTGTAAAGTCGTAAAAAAAAACATAAAGTAGTGTGATATGGCATTTTACTCACTGTGGTAAGAATGAGCAAGGGTCGTCTGCCATAACGGTCTGACAGAGCCCCGGTTACAGGCGACGACAGGAACTGCAGCAGAGAAAACAGCGACCCGATCAGACCTGAATGGCAAATTGAGAAGCAAATAAATGAGGCCAGTTTCTTGGCAGTACAACAATTTTAATCAGTCATGAAAAGTAGAGCTCCACATACGTTATATTGAACATGAAATCAATCCAATATACCTCCAAACAGGACACTGTTGTATTTCTTTTCCATAGGAATCCCGACGACCTCCCTGAACCAGTCCACAACACTCTGCAGAGACTGATATACGCCATCCTGTCCAACAAGACAAAACACAGAATATACAACATTACACACGAACAATACTAGTGAATATGTCTGTTCAGAATGAGTCAGCATGCAGAGTCACACACAGACACAGCACATGATGGCTAATCTAATCACTGAGTTGGTTCTGGTTTTTAGGGTACAGATTCTTCACACAAGGCCTCCTTTGTTCAACAGAGCATCAGATTCGGCACATTGTCTGTCCAAAACACACCATGATTCAAACAGCAGAGTCAGTTTCTAAACTACAAACACCGGTTCCATCGGTGAAACTGATGTACAACTGTCTTGCCAAGGGAACAAGAGCTTATTGTCTGGCGCCCATATGTTCCAAACCAGTCCGATGATTTAACTGCTGAAAATATCGTCACAGGTGATAATAATTTCTCTTAATTTACATGCAATCAAATGCAACTCAAATTAGGACATAAGGCTGGTTGAATCATCAAAAACTGATGGCTTTCAAAAAACAAAACTAACCCCCGTTTGTGCATAATGGTCCAAAATAGAAGGAAGTAGAGGTAGAATCAGTGTAAATCCCAGCAGGTCCAACAGCAGGGTGATAAACACAATGTTGATGACCTTTGATGAGAAGGAGCTGCCATCCTCTGCGGGTTTGTTTGCGGCTGACATTCCTGGGACTAAATATGGCGTCTTTTCTGTTCCTGTTCATACGTAAAACATATACAGTATATGTTAGGAAAAGACAGGAACAAATGAACCCTTGGGAAAGTATAACAAACAGCTTACTTTTACAGGTCTGTAATTTCCTCATAACTTTCTTTACATGGGAATATATATTGGGCATTCAAGGACAAAATTCAGACAGATATTAGAGTTTAGCAAGTATCCTTGAAATGCTGCTCTTTTAAAACCCAGTAAATATTCCACTTGTTATTAATTTATTATTCGAAACTTCATCCTGCATACATGTTGTGTGTTTATATATTTGTGCATGTTCAGCTGGCCTGCTGCACACTGTAGGTTATATTTCTAATTAATTAATAACTTGAATTAACTGGAAGTGTATCAACTTAACAGGGTCTCAGTGTCTCTTTAATAAGTAATACACATTATATAGTTATTACCAGAAAACTTCCTATGATTTGCAGATACATGTCAGTTACTTTCTAGAAAATTAGTCAGTAGGAAACCAGTAAAATTAAGCATTAATACAGACAGTGAGTTAGTTATCTGCAGATTAATGAGCAGAACTTTGCACAAAAATGTACAGGGTGAGTTGTTTAGTTCCACATGGGGCTCAGTTAAACCCTGTGTAAACATGTGAAAGTTGTTAATAAGGCAACGTGACTCCGATATGCTATATGTAAACAAATAGATGTTTACAAAAGTAGATGTATGCCAGTAAAGTTGCAACTAGTATCCATTTACTACCTCCAGTAAGTCATCAGGAAAGAACGAAAAAAAAGGTGTTGCTCAAGGAGGAAGGAGGAAACTGCAACCACAAATGTCAGATCAAAGTTGATCTAATTATTATTATTAACTCCTCAGTTAACGCACCGACATGAAAACAGATTTTAACTGGAATTAGTCCCAAAACTGTGCCTCTGATAAATAACACATTTCCGACAAATAGTTGCCTCCACCATGTATGACATCGAGCAAGTGAGATTGACCAATATCTATCAGCATCACCTCTCCTCGGACACCGCAACGACATTTAACCACGCGAACGGTCACATTTTACAGTTTCTATACTTACACAGTATGTGCAGACTCGTAAGCTATCAATCTAAAGAGATCACACTAAGCACTTACCCGACTCGAGCAGGTCTACCTCTCTCTCTCTCTCTCATCAGTCCATTATTATAGGTCCACACCAGGAAGCGGTGTCTTCTTACATTTGGACGACAAGAATGTCGTAACCAACCCAGCGCGCACAGACGAAAATGCCGCCTTCAGGTGTTCATCGGAAGCTCGTATTTCCGCGTTCCACATCCAATTGTGTCCGTTGGTCGTACATATTTACCCGGGCGAAGCCAAAGGGTAAATCAAACATTCGTTATAGCAAACCGGAACAGCAGCTACGTGTTAAATTCTTCCCACACATTAAACTGCCTTACTCTTATTAGTTTTAGTAATACAAGTGATAGCTTAATTTGCATTGTGATAAGTTAGGTGTTGCTCACTGTTGGGCTACAATTTGGCTAAACGACATCATACAACACAAGGGGTTTTAAAAAGTTAACAGAACTTTATTTCAAACAAAATACTACTTTAGTACTGGTTAAATGACTCACTTCCTCGATGTCAAGGTACACACCAATTCATGTTCAAATACTTAACAGCACCTGAAGGCAGCACAAGCTGTTCCCACAAATCAGTGTTTTTTAAGGTTGGTCTAGTTACCAGTTTACGTGTAACAATTATTCACAGTGTCAACAGTTTTGCATGTTTTACAGTATTAATGATTAATATCTTCACATACACTCAAGGAATAATAAAAAAGAAAGGATCTTTGCATTGGCTGATAGATATTCATGGATATCCATTATTGTCTTTAAGGATATTAATGTCAACGTATCACACTTTATACAGTCAAAGTCTCGGTTAAGTTTTAGTTACTTAAACCATATCCTACGTACAAGAGCTGTACCATAAAAACATGTCAATAGAAAAAGGTTTACATTCTACAAAACATGAAACATGTTTTTGCAACCAGGTTGTACAGATTTCCACAGTAAGAGAGTCCAGGACAGTTCAAGAAAAATAAAGTCCAAAGCTTCCAACACAAAAAAAATAATAGGGAAAGCCCTCTCAACCGTCCACAACATAATGAAAAATATTATAATCCATGTCGCACGATGTGACGCTGCAGGTCAGAGCTGCTGATGAGGTTTCGTCCACAGAACTCACAAGTAAACGGTTTCTCCTCAGTAGCTGCTGGTAATGAGACTTCAGCAGCTCCATCGGTGACTGTAAGAGCACCTGAAGAACAAGAGAAACATGCCGGTATCATATGACATTTCACAAACCCAACTAGGGCAGCAACCCACTATGATTCTGCTGTCCCTTCAATCATCTAGTCATAATTAAATACTATACTATAAAATATCAAAAAATAGTGACAAATACCAATCACAATTCACAGGAGGCTGAGATGAAATCGTATTTTGGCCATCTTACACTAAAATATATTACATTTACTATAATAGCGAACAGAAAAAGAAGCAGAACATCTTCATATTTGAAAAACTGGAACTTGCACACATTTAAATGCTGCCTTTGGGGGGATTTTAAGTCCGCTGACTAATGAGAGAAGCATTTTTTTTTGTCATACATTTTTCATTTCAGTAAATTTTCAAGTAAAAATACCAAATTACTCACAAGTTCCCACTCCTCAACTGTGATAATTTGATACTTTTCTCTGTTATATACGATGGTAAACAGAATATCTTTGGACTTTTGGTCCGACAAAACAAACATCTTCATACGCTGAACGATTAATCGAGAAAATGATCAGCTGATTAACCGATAATGAAAATGACAGTAAGCTGGGGCCCTATCATTGATACAGGGCAATCTTGATGTATCCAGACTTCGCTAGAGTGCAGGCTATTAAAAAAATAATTGGGTGCAAGTGCTCTGACCGCATGTTCTGTAAATTATAATAGACTGATGTATACTCATTGTCATCAACTCCGTATCTTACCTCTGGGCACATGTGGAGTGCCAGCATTCTTCATGCCATCATGTTTCTGTTTCGTGCATCCGTTCTCAGTGTCTTTTGTGACCGTCTCATCTTCTCCGTCCCGCTTTTGCTCAAGACGATCGCTCTCATCTTCCTCCTTGCAACAACCAAGAGGCTGCATTTCTTCTTTGAGATATTCATTCTCAAGTACTGGCATTTCCCCATACGGCTCTCTTACCTCGGCACTGGTTTTCTGATTGTGCACCTGTTCCCTTTTGCAGTTTGTAAATGAGACCCCTAAGCTTTCCTCATGGCTCATCTTAAGTTGTGCACACTTGGACGAGAGACTTAGCAAATGCCTTGCAACTGCAAAACTCCCCTGAGGCCTGCTGTTATTAGCCTGCATCTGATTTGTCCTTGCGAGGGCTGAAATTGCCTCCGTATCGACTTGATTTTTGGGGCTGTGGGACAGAGGGGTGCTGCCTCTTTCATCTAGTAATACCAGCTCACTTCTAACATTATCTACAACCTCTGTCTCAATGTCCTCTGTCTTAACCGTTCCATCCTGCTCTGCCCTCTTATCTGTCCTGCAGATGCTGACATCCTCAGCTATTTCAGCAGATGTCAGTGAGCTCCCCTCTGCTGCCTCCTCTTTCTGTTGTGTGAACGTTATGTTGCTGTCCTCACTATCTCCCAGTTTGGGTTGGGCTGGTTCCTGCTCACGCTTTTCTTGGATAACAGTGTTTGGCTTTGCATTCTCACACTGAAGGTCCAGCACGCAGCTCTTGGCGGTGCTTCCTTCCTTCTTTCCGGCCTGCTCTCGCTTCTGATATGCTTCCTCGGCCTGTAGTGTAATTTCGCCCCTCGTGGTATTTTCTGACGGGTCTTTAGCTTGTATCTCAAGTAGAACTTCATTACAGTCAGTAACAAACTCCTCTGTTTCTACATCCTCACTGCCAGTGTTGTGGTGCTCCACGTTAGATGAAGGCTCCTCTTCTGGCATCCTACTAACTCTTGCCTGTAGCTGATCAAGACTGACCTGACCCACAAGCTCATGATTCCTCACAACCTGCAATAAAACAAACAGAAATTGTGAATGGCTTTCCTGACACAGTAATCAAGCACTGGGTGCCACTATCATAAACATTAGAATATTAGGTGGATATTTATTTAAAGGTTTACTGGAATTAAAAGCAAAGCTATGTGTATGCTAACAGTATAATAAAAATACTGAAATCAAGTTCCAGTGTCCCCCAAGCACCGGAGTCTTCAGCAAATAACTTCTATTTTCTATAATGCATATTAATGGCTACTGAAAATGTGAGACAAAGACTGTGTCTGTTATTCCATTTACTTTTTCAAAATTCCGGTACACTGACAGTGGATACTTTCTAAATTCTTCAGACACAAAGGGATTCCAGTGATGCACAGACGGGGGTTTAGTAACAAATCCTCACCTGATGCTTATCGCTCAGGTGCGCCTCCAAGTCGCTCAGCCACGTGCAGTCGAAGTAGCACAGCCGACACTTGTAGGGTTTGACGTCATCGTGCCTCGTCATGTGCAAACGCAGGTTGTCAGCACTCCCGCTTGAGAAAGTGCATTTGTGACAGCGGAAGACAACGCCTTTAAGGTAACGCGACAGCTTCGGGCGTCGCACCTCTATTGGCACAACGCGTTCCTCTGAAAACAAAAGAAAACATAATGTGACGGAGGAGAATATATGAGGACGCGAAGACCGAAATCCTGTCGAGCATCGAACCTACCGCGGTGCAAGACGATGTGATCGATCATGTTGTTCTTGTTCTTGGTCTGGTAGAGGCAGAAAGGACAGCGGAGGTCTTTCTCATGAGTAGGTTCTGACTGGCCTGCAGAGTGACCCGCCTCCATGTGCTTTTCCAGGGTTTTCCTAATAAAAAAGGCACGAGAAACAAGTGACAAGTGTTTGGAGACAACTTTTCCTGTCGCAAATATCCAAAATAAAAAGATTAATTTTACATTAAAACAAATCCTTATGGGGGTTGTAACTTACCTAAAACAAGTGAAAAAGTCACAGCCCTTACACCTGAGGATCTTCTTTCCATGGCGATTTAGGTAGTGTCGTCGCATACTAGACAGGTGTCCGGTGTTGAAATTGCAGAACTCACAGTGAAGAACACAGTTGTCCGGTAACTTGGCTTCTTGCACGTTTGTTTCAGCCTGTGCCCTCCAGCTGTAGTGGTTCAACTGCCGCTGCACATCTGGGGGCTCCAAGTACAGCGATTCTGTCAAAGTACAATAAATTAGCATTTAATCTCAGTATAGCCACTACTGAAAAAAGTTATAAATACATTATGATTTACAAACACAATAGGGATGACTTGCTTTGAGAAATGTCAGGTTTTTCATCAGGTTCAGGCCAATAGTTCAATTCCTCTGATGAGTTAAAGGGCTCCGCGTCGGCCCTCTGAACGCTCTCCTCATGTTGGTCGTCAGTCTCAGCAGGTTCCATCATGACATCTGAGCATTCATTTGTGGTACAAACATGGAATGAGAGACAGAAGATCGTATCAATATAACAATACTGTGTAATCTGTACAGTGAAGCTGATTATTAGCATCCGGGCGACACAATCTGGTAAATTCCAACAGTTTTACAACATAACAAAACGGGCAGAGACGTCTATTCATTACAATACAATTCTGTACAATAGCCCATATTTAACAACATATGGCTGGATGTCAGTTATAATAAACCATCCTGATCAAAATCTCAGCAAGCAGAGAGCTGCAACAGTTTCCATCTACACTCAGTTACCATTTTCTTAAGTAGACCTGGGTAAACCTAGTGAATACCTTCATAAAGGTTATAATGTTCAGTGTGTGTTGAAACTGTTTTAGAGAGGTATGGTTCAAATGAACTGTATCAAGTTATAGGAAGAGATGTTTCTAATATTCAGCCTACCCTCACTGATAGAAATATGGTGGAGTGTATACTCGTAACGGCTTATTTGAAAAACATGCACAAAGCATAAAGTATGCATCATAGTAACTATCAATATATTGAATGTTGGGTGAAGGTGGGATATGTGCAGGTTTCTCACCTTGATGCACTTTCATAAAGTGACACCTCCAGAGGCCCATGACGGTGGTCCGATAGGAACAGAAACTACAGAGGAAGGGCTTGATGGTCCCAGCTTTGAACAGGACATATTTGTTAATGCTGTAGAGAGAAAAGAAAAAGATATTGAACCACATTGCTGACACAACTAAATGCTGATGACACTCGTCATTATTTCTTTTCACTCCTAATTTCAAATCCCCAAAGTTTCTTCTTACTTGTGCTTTAACACTGAGGTAGGCGCAACGTTCATCTTCTTGAGGGCTGCCACGGCTGCATGGCTGCGCTCATGCGAACGCAGCCCCTTTAACGACATGAATGTCCTCCGACACTGTTTGCAAGTGTGTTGTTCTCTGGATTCCAGCTGTGGTTGCTCTTCATCCGTGGGTTTTGACAGTGGCGACAGAGGGCTTGGCGGCAAATTGACGGTCTGACCTGGTGTCACGTTCCACTGGGCCGGTTCGTCCACAGTTTCCAACGTGAGAAGTTCATCTTGCATGAAGAGCTGAAAATGAAATGCAGCAAAAGGTCAACAAGGCGTAGCTAAAGCATGCAGCAAAAAGGATCAAGAGTGTAAAATGCCCAATATTGGCAGAGTCAACTTACCTCGATGGATTTGGCCTTTGGCAATGACGTTGCAGCCTCTGCCCTCTTTCTTGCCATCTCTCTGTGGCAATCCAGGTGATACCACAGCTTTCTAATTCCATTCATTTGTTTACTGCAGTGGACACATCTGTAAAGACCTGTACTACCCTTCTTTGATCCTCGGGATAACACCGTGAAGTCCAATATGCAATCTGAGCTATGGAAAGTACTGTAGTGGGCAACGAGCAGCTGGGAGGAGTCAAAAATCAACTCCGGACACTTCCTACATTTGATGGCCACTCCTTCCTCAGCTTCGGCTTTGGCTTCGGGCTGTTTCCTGGCCTTTCTGCATTTGTTATACTTCTGTAGCAGCTTGCGTGTTGTAAGTGGATCCAATTTGTGGGTCTTTTTGTAGTGACATAGCAGGTATCTTCGATAGAATCCTCTATAGCTACACATGTGGCACTTGTACAGCGTTACCTTGTTCTGTACGGACATTTTGTTTGTCTCAGCGGTGCTCTGGTGACGGAGGCCATTTTCTGTTGTTGATGTTTTGCTTTTTAAAGCCTCCTCTGATGCTGAGCCCTGAGAGCAGAGATCAGGTGGTTTTTCAGTTTCAATGTCAGCTGAATGTCCAGGAGCTGCTGGCAGAGCCTGACGGTGGTCCCTCTCACAGTGGCTTTTTAGTTTCTTCATTGTTGGATAAATTAGTGGACACATTTGACAAATGTACCCTCTTTCAGTAGCACTTTTTCCAACCGTACACCCGACCAAGTTGGTTCCAAGTATTTCCTCTGTTTGGAGCTCATCTGCCCTGGCAACGAGGTCTGGATGCTTCATTTGGCAGTGAGTGAGCGTGCCATGGTAGCTTGTATTCACATAGGGACACGTTGGACACCTGTAGACTAACATTGTTTTGCTTTCCTCTGTCGTCGTGCTGCTTTTGCATGCCTCTGGAGGGTTTTCTGGTGTCGGAGTTAAAGGGCGGTCATGAGATGTTGATGGTTGCTTCTCCTGGGCCTGCTTGTATACCGGTGCATAGTACTTTAAGAAGCTGTCCCTTCCATGTTTCTTAACATAATGGCTTCCAAGTAGTATTTTTGTGTAATAGGAACTGGAACACAGTACGCATTTGTACATGCAATCCTGAGGCCTAGAAACATATGCCATCTTGTGGTGAACACGCACGTGTCGGTCGATCCCAATTTTTGTGCTGCAACTATAACGGCAGTACTGGCATTTAACCACGGTATAGATTTTCTTACATAAAAAGGAAGACTGTGATACTAATCCCCGATTGCTTAGAGTCTTATATTGTTTTATTTTACCCATGGACGATGGTTTAGGGGCTGGTTTCACCGTGTTTGGCACGCTGTTTGGCACCGTGTTTGGCACAGTCTCAGTATGGTCCTTCTCACAGTGCTTATTCAGTTTCTCCTGTGTTGCACAAATCTGTTGGCAGGTTTCACATATGTAGCCACGAAGTCTGAAATTGCCAGGATCATAAGGACCTTTACTCTTCAAACAGTCAACCCACTTAGATAGCTGTGCTTCATCCGCGTGAATACTGTCCGCTCTGGGCTCGAGGGCAAGGTGCTTCATATGGCAGTGACTGAGAACTCCTTGATGAAGGGTATTCACGTAGGTACAATGTGGACACTTGAAGACTTGCATGCGCGTTTGGATTTTCTCTTGATGTTCATCGTAACCTTCGTATACAGCTTCATGGTGTTTCATTCCGCAGTGAGTGTTGAGACCGTGCTGGGTGAGAAATCTTACAGGGCAGTAAGGGCAACTGAGCAATGTGGAAGATGCTTTTGCTTCAAATCCAAGAGGCACTTGGTAAGATTCAAATGTCCGTGGCATTACATTGTCTTCCACCTGCCTGTTTGCACTTGGTCTCTTGCTGTTGACGACACCCAGGACCGAACCGTCTTCTTTCACAGACCACGGATGAACAGCGCGGTAGTGGCGCGTGACGGACGACACTGAGCTACCTTTAAATGAGCACGCTCTGCATGAATAATTCCTGGTTTCATTTTGTCCAGATCGTTGAGATGGTGAGCTGCCATCAGTGCCATCACCCTCACTAATACCATCGGTGCAATTCGTTTGAGGTTTCTTCTTTTTAGGAGGATGCGCATCGGGACCGACATACAACCGAGTAGTCACGTACTCGAGGCTTGGGCTACGTCCTGGGTGTTGTTCCTGGTAGTGCTCATGGACTGCTGCCGCTTTTTCGTGAGAGAAAACACACACGTCACAGTGATACCCCATCTGTAAAGTTCCTTGTTTGAAACACACTCTTAAAACATCTGTGATTGAGCGATTTGCCCTGTGGATTTTCCATATATGCTTCTTTAAAGCCTGCACATATTGAGTGCTGTATGGGCATCTATAGCAACGAAGGGTCCTCTGTGGTTGTGAGGCTGTCATTGAGGGTGATGCTGGAGCTGGGAGCGATTTGCCAACCATCTTTATTTTTTTATTTCCTTTCCCCTCTAGGGATGCATGAGTGACTTCTTGGTTTGCAGTTTCTAAGTGTAGTTTCTTTGTCTTTTCGCGAACCATAGCGGTATACAGACGGATTAGTTCGCCCTTAACCATAAACCCACTATGTTTTTTGAGGTAATGCCGCATTACATAGTCCACCGTACTCTTTCTGTAGTTGCAAAAGTGGCAGAAATACACATCTTCGTCTCCCTCCCCCATAAGAGGAAGAGGTAGACCCGTAGAAAAGGAGAACTCCTTTGCTTGAGATTTTGATTTCTCAATTTGATCACGAATCACAGCTGTATGTTCAATAATACATACCCTCCTGTAATGGAGGCTTTTGTGAATTCCGATTTGATGGTTTGCGATACCTTTTATCGATGGATTTCCATAGTTGCACTTTTGACAGTAAAACAAGTTTTTTGCACATGCATAAGCATTATCTTCAGTCACAGAAGCGTCTGCTACATCATCCTGGTCACGTAGAACTTCTGAACCATGTACCTCAACTTGTTTACTAGTTTTAGAATCAGAAGATGCAGTCGTTGCTGAGGCCTCAGCTTTACTTTTGAGTTTCTTTTTCTGCATCTGAGCACTGTAACATACGATCTCTTCCATACACGTTAGTGCATGCAGAGAATGTTTTGCATTATGATGACCAAGAACACTTTTGATATTGGTACTTGAATAACTGCAAAACTGGCAGTAAAACAATCCGCTTGGAGAAATGCCGGATAAATTGCCCATTCCAGTAGACACCCGATTGCGTTTTTTGGGCAACTCCTTGCATTTACTTTCGTCTTCAGTAGATTCCACTTTCTTGGTTTTGGGAGACTCTGAACGAGTCTTTGAAGCTTCCGATGTGCACTTACGCTGCGACTGCTCAGCTTTGTTTTTTGTTGTCTTAGAAGAATCTGAGATGGTCGTTTGAGGTGCAGATTTTTCTGTTATTGTCACAGAGTTTGGAGATTTGTCTGGCGCCATCGGTGATGTTGTGCGTGATGGGACACAAGCTGACTGTTTGATTTTATCTATTGTGATTTCTTGACCTGGGTGTCTTTTTTGGTAGTGGACATGCATAACAACAACTGACTTATGACTAAACTTGCATGTGTTGCAATGGTACAAGGCCACATCTGCTCCTGTGGAGTTGGGATGTTGGGCTGAGGGGTCATTTTGGACTCCCTTACATGGTGTACAGGCACTTTCAGGAGAAATCCCTCCTGGTCTTTCTGGACTCTGTGCTTTTTCACTTATATTTGACTGAGTTGATCCCTCTTGGCATCCAGTCGCCAAATATCTGCAGTACAGCAAGGAATTATCCACTTCATGAGTTGGGTGACTTTCCTTGTAATGCTTTTTCAATGCCTCCAATACGTTGGTGGTAAACACACACAAAAAACACTTGAAAACCAAACTGACATCAACTGATTGCATCTTGAATACGTTTGGGGCCTCTGGGTGATTTTCACTGTAGTGTCTCTTGAGGGCAGCTATACTTACAAACTCAACTGGACACTGCAGGCAACGAAAGATAGCACTCCTATCACTTGGATCCTGAATGTAAGCAGCGTTATATCTCACATAAGGGTGATCGTTCTGATAATGGGTAGATACACATGTACTGCTCACATCACTGTAGACACAGTGCTTACAAGAATACACTGTTGAGCTTTCAGAGTCTCCATTGACAAGACAAAGCTTCTTTTCTCCTTCATCTTCGCTAACGTCAAATGAAAACTCTGTGTTGCTTGATGATTGTTGTTCTTCCTGTGGGAGCTTTGTCTCTTCTTTTTCTGACTTTACTTTTTTAGCAGGAGGACATTTTGAGATTTCACTGTTTGCCCTTTTACCAATGTTGTCAGGAACGGTTTCTCTGGATTGGTCATTGGGCTTTGGTGCACTCGGGTCAGGCTTTATAAGTTGGTCATCTAGCAAAAACCGGTGAGAAACACTGGCGATATCATTCATGGACTTTGCAGTGACTTTAAACACACCACTACTGTTTGGGCTGGAACTGGAGGGGGATTCTTTCAAAAGGATGGTTCCTTTGGTGCTGTCTAGAAGATGTGGGCTTTCAGCCGAGTCCACTGGGGGTTTCCCATTTGATCCAGATGATACCGCAAAGTACTTGGTAATGGTTTGCAATGGCCGCTTGTACGTCTTAAGATCCTTTGATGACTTAAGTGTGCATTTCGATTTTGAGGTAGACATCACAGAAAAAACGGAGGAAATCTCTTTTGCTCCTGCAGCTTCACTGTGCTGGTTTGCTGACATGACAATTATGCTGGTATCCGGGTTTTCAGAAATGATTATATTTCCAATAACATCTTCGGATTTTTTTTGACATTGTCTCTCGTGTTCGTTTAAAATTGCCCGACTGCAAGCTTTAAAATCACAGTGCTGGCATTCAAAATCATCTTCTGCACTGTTGCTATTGCTGTCAGTTTTGTCTTTGTCAGTCACCGTGTATTTTAAACCAGCCTCTCTGAGAGCAGCATCTACATCACAGCCATGCACTTTGTTGAGGTGTTCAAAAAGGTAGACCTTGGATTTGAAGAGGAGTATACAACGACTACACTTGAAATACTTGATTGGGGATTCTTGAGTGAACACCCGATTCGTTTTACTGTAGCCAGAGGTGGGAACGTTCAGTGACTCTGAGGGGGTAAATAAAAGATTATGTTGAATACTCAACTTAATTTCATGCACTACATTGACACAATAATGTCAGAAAAATGACTGTAATAAATACCTTCTTGCATTGTGTATTCCTCTCTAGACACAGAGCCATATGAAGACACCGCTGTGACAAACCTGGAGTATTGAAAGCATATATTATTGCATCGCTCAACGTACAAAATAAACAACATATTTTTGATTACTAGCGTTACTGTTAAAGTCGCGTGTACTACTGGGGGTTTCAAAGGGGATTTAAAAATAACAACAAGAGATATATCGCACTTCTTGAGTATTAAAGGAAAACCAATTGAAGAGCAGAACAACAATGGCACTGGAAACAACTTAGGACCTCGGTCATGCATGTTCAACAGTACGGAAACGTAGGGAGAGTCCAGCCCCTTTACAGACAAACTGGTACGAACTCTTTTAACAAAGCAATGAAAAAGACAAAGTGGACAAATACAACTTACACAAATACTCAACGACCACGAATAATGTACTCACGCATCCAGATAAACATCGGATGAGGCTCATAATACAACATTTTCAATTGCTGATGTTGAGAACGTGAAGAAGCCACAATACTCCGCCATTTTTTCCCGCGAGTACTCTGGTTTGTGTCGCTTCCGCTCCACCAACCCATCAATGTGTGCTACATCACTTCTGTCGAAAGCCATTTAGCCTTCAAAATAAAATTGATTAGAAGTGCCGTGCACAAAGGTGCCCTCTTTTCACGTTATGACACTCTTACGTGAATGTAACCGATGAAACATGAATTAATTACGCATTAACATACATTTAAAATCCATTTTTAAATGCTTTCCTTCATTTGATCATACAAAAAACAAAAAACTAAAATAAAACCGGACACCTGCGCTTTAACTGTGAAATCAGAGACATATTTGACCGGAAGTACTTAGATTCTAGACTGCCACTTGCCTTAAATGGGACTATCTCCTTGCTAAAATCCCATTTATTTGTGGTATAAAAGTCCGTCTAAAAATGTTTCATAGTATTACAGGTGACATCGTCTATCTTGATATATTGGCACAGCTTTTGGCAATTCAAAGAAAGGTATTCATATTTAGTTAGCGTTGTTTGTGTACCCTTTGCCAAGTTGATTTGTTACGCAACGAGCCGGAAGATGTCGCTGTAAACATCAGCTGTTCCAGTGAGCCTCAACGACAGCTAGCTGCTATCGATCAAGTAACTTAGCTTAGATAGCCAACAAACTGTTGCGGTAGTTGGATATATATGTGGCAGCGGTGTAACAGGGTGTTTAACAACACGTGGAAGATCGAGTGAACATGCGGGCATGTGACTGCATTTAGGAAAACCCGAAGATGGACAAGGTAGTTAACAAATAATAACGTAACGGTTGTTTGTTTTTTAGCTAGCAAGCTAGCCAGTAACCATAACGTATGGACGTAACTTTTAGCTAGCTGCTGGGAATGTGTAAGTTAGCTTAGAGGATACTTTGACGTTTGCAGATGGTTTTACTACACCATCAACTGTTGGTTATTAACTTTGTAAAACACAAAGTTGTTGACAGGCTACACAAAACTATGTAACGTTAGCTAACATAACGCTAGATGCAAATTTTTTGAGTTAACGGCTAAATAGTTTAGTTATAGTTGACATATGTTAATCGTTAGCTAACTGTACTAGAGGAAAAAGTTGTGCCTTACGCATATAAGTGTGAGTCTATGATGTGGATAAAGCGATTAAAGAAGTGTGCAACACATGGCTTCACTTCCAGCCAAAGGTCGTAGTCCATTAGACTGTTAATGACAATCTTTACTGTCATCTGCCATCCAGTCTTCTGACCATAAACACCAGAGGAGACCTGCTGAGCCACACACAGCCACACCACCACCTCTGATGTTACCAAACCCACACGTGTGTGATCACAGTTTAAGAGGGTAGGAGGATGATCACTGATTTGTACTTGATTAAGTAACCATGACTTGACCTAATGGACTGATGTCACAAGCCCCCTATTTGTGTGAATGTCTGAACTTTTGTGAAGGAACACAAGGAGTTCAGGTCTGAGCCAAAAGCAGAACACATCAAATACAAATGGAGGTCCAGCAGGAAAAGGGGGAGATGTGTCCAGGAGTCATGGGTACAGTAGCAGCCGTCACGTTAGAGAGACCAGTGATGATTTCCTGCAGAGGGACAGGTCCACACGGGGTCCTCAAGCTAAGGTGGGTTTTTAGTTTTAATCTTCAGAAAGATCAGATAAGCTAAACTTTCTTCATGAAATTGATTTTAGTGATTTTCATCCATCTCCACAGACATCAAAAGGCAACATTGGCTCTCCTGCTCAAGGCAAAGTTATGGGCAAGAACTCACTGGATGTTCAGAAAAAAGGTAGACATCTCACATGATGTGATTAATTTCCATTATGTACAAAGTACATCATTCTCATGGCATCATGAATATGTACTGAATATAATGTTTTAACTCTTAATATATACATTCACATGGCATCTTTAACTTTTTTACTGATTGATCCCGGGCACCTCAGGAAGTTATCTTACTTTAATCAGTCAAAAATTATCTGGTACCATTCAGGTTTTAGAGGTGCCACATCTCTCCCGAACTCTGCAGGGATGTCGAAACCAGCACAGGCAGTCTCGGCCCCATTTGAAGTGAAGATGACTGATTTCCCAGAGTTAGCTGGTGGTTCGCTGGGAAAAGCAGTCGCTCTTATTCAGAAAGAGTGCTGGGGTCCAACTCCTCAATCCTCGAGCCCTCAAATGCAAACATCGGCATCTTCCTGGAAGGTAAGATAATTTAAATGTCAGAAGTTATATTGTGTAGTTTGCAGTGAATGTTTCACTAATGTAGGTATACTCCTAATTTTGGTGCTAATGTCATTTTCTGTTGAATAGTCTGTTCGGAGAGGATCCTCAACACAAACTGATCACCAACAAATTGCCAGTAATGCTGAGCCAGATTATTCTGCTGCGTCGCCAGGTAGGTGAAAGTCCCTGTCGTCAGTCTTTTGGTGACTATAAGATGGGGTCAGTAATAATTGAGATTATACATTTATTTTTGTGAACAGGTCAGCCGGTGGTGACTTCCTGGGCTAATGTTGCCTCTCAGCCTCCAAAGAAACCTGTCCCTAAAGAGAAGACAATCAGCAGCAATCAGCAGGTTAGATGACATTTAGTTGGATTCAGGCTCTCGGCATAACAGCTTTATTTTTACACGGCATTGCAGGTTTTAAAAAAGTCTTTAAAAGTGTTGAGTTCATTTAGGCTTTGGAAGGTATCAACATCTTAAATTTGAAGATTTGTTCTTGCCTGAAAATTGGCTGTTTAGTCTATTAAAGGTGCCATCCTCACTTAGGTAATGCAATGTATTTGTCAGGTAAACCTCTGGGTTTTTCTGCGCTGCCATGATTTTAATCATTGTTTTCTGTCGCTTCACTTTTGCGTCTCTTCAGACGGAGGAAATGGCTGCAGAGCAGGAGGAGGGAGCACCAGGGAAAAGAAAACGGAAGAAAAAGAAGAAGAAGCCTAAAGGTGCTGGTGAAGATGCAGAAGATGAGTCGGAAAAGCCAGCAATGTATCAGGAGCTTCCAAAATTTGAGGTGAATAAAAAAAAAAACAGCGCCCATATTTTTATTCAATTCAACAGCAATGTTTTTTTTGCAGGTGATGGAAGCTGATTTTTGTTGCCATGTTGTCTTCTCAGGACGAAGAGGAGTTTCCAGGCTTGACTCCTGCTCTGACTGTAACTGATAGATTGATAACGAGCAGCTATGCCGCAAAACTATGCAATGAGGTACATATCGACAGTTATTTCTCCTCCCGGTTGTTTTTACATTATAAATAAAATACTGTGTCTGTTTTTGCTAAAATGCACATTACACGGGTGGAAACATTACAACCTGTCGGTTCAGGAGATTGTCTTCAACATTATGTAGTATGTAATTTGCAAAACCTTTGTTGCGTTTCTTTTCCCAGGAAAACCAAAGAGAAGGTGTTCAGCATCAGTCTGCCGACCACACCAAGGAAAAATCCCCTGCAGCAAAAACTCAGCCCACAGAGACGGCGAAGAAAGGACAGGTTTGTATTTTTCTTGTACATTCAAATTGTGTGTTTTGATATTATCCTGGAGAAAACACGAGAGATTGTTTTTGGTCTCCTGATTACTAGAAAGCTGAAAAGGTGTCTGGGAAGAAAAGCAAAGTTCCTGTTCAGCTGGACATCGGAAACATGTTGGTCGCCCTGGAAAAGAAGCAGTCTCAAAAAGCAAAACAGGACGCCAAACCAGTCATTCTCTCAGGTGGGTTGTGTTTTGGCATCTTGGCCTCTGATACAAAGGCTTCCTAATTTCTCTGTCTTCCCTCGATACAGATTATTTAAGAATGTATTTAGGTTGGTTTTGCTTGTGTTCTTAGCACAAATCCTACTGATCCAAAACTGTATGAAAACGTACCCCAGAATAAGTCTCTTTTTAAATGAATTATTTGCAGTTGGTGGCGGACTACCTGCTGTCCAGAAGCAGCCATTAGTCCAGAAGAAGCTGCCCTGGCAGCAGGATAAAATTGCACACAATCCTCTGGACTCCACCAGCCCTTTGGTGAAGAAAGGCAAGCAGAGAGAGGTGCCCAAAGCCAAGAAACCCACCCCTCTCAAAAAGGCATGTCCACCGACTTACTCTGGAACAAATACAGATGCACTACATTTCCTAAGAATGTATTTTCAGCAGTGGAGCCTTTATTAGTTTATTTCTGTTTCTCAGGTCATTTTGAAAGAAAGGGAGGAGAGGAAACAAAAACGTTTGCTGGAAGAGAGAGGACTGCTGCCTGAAAATGAGTTCAAACCTGCTATTGATGCTGAAGAAGAAGAAGAAGAAGAGCAGTGTGAAACAAATGCCACAGGTCAGATCAAGCATGTGAAACAATAGAATACTTTTGAGGAAATCTTTGATTATAGCGAATATTTGATCTGTTATTTTTGTGCTTCTGTAGCCTCAGATGAGGTTGGAAGTCCTACAGAAGAACTTGATGACAAGTCAGAGTTAAACGACACAAAGCAGACGGTGAAGGAGGGTGATGAAGAAGCCGACAAAGACGAAATCGTAGAGGAACAAACCACCTCACCTGTGCCCTGCCCAGCCAATCGACCCAAAATCCACAGCAGAAAGTTCAGAGAGTAAGACTGTTCACTCTATTCCCACAAGTTGTAATCTTTGTTGGTTGTGCAGAAATAAGGAAACATTTAATCTCACAGAATTTAATCACTGTTTTTTGTTTTTTTTTCTCTTTTTTTCTCGCATTTGTGGTAACCGTATATTGTAAAAGTATATTATACTGTTGTGCATGTCAGCTATTGCAGCCAGATGCTGAGCAAAGACGTGGATGAATGTGTGACGGCTCTGCTAAAGGAGCTGGTTCGTTTCCAGGACCGCCTGTACCAGAAAGACCCCATGAAGGCCCGCATGAAGAGACGCATTGTGATGGGGCTCAGGGAGGTTCTGAAGCACCTCAAACTCAGGAAGGTCAAGTGTGTCGTCATCTCACCCAACTGTGAACGCATCCAGTCCAAAGGTACTGTGTCCTTGTGAGAGTTTCACAATGCCACCTTTTGAAATATTAAATGTATTTTTGCTTGACAAATGAGTGAAAATATTGATTGACTAATTGTTTCAGCTCTCCTATAAAGTGTCAGCTTGTTTTTGTAAAGATTACTATCCAAACAGGCCCCAAAACTATAGTTAAAATAGCAAAATCTCTTCATCTCCCTCCTCATTTGGCAAAACAAAAACAGCACAGATGTGTAATCACAGTGTGGACTAGAGTTGACAGAAAGTTAGCTAGTAAGTCTTATTTTTGGACAAGGCCAGCGGTTTCAGTTTTGTCCCCAGCTGAACAAATACATGTTTGGTGTGAAAATAGCAGCTTAGTGTGGGCATATGGCCTAAAGGGAAGGAAAACAAATTCTATAACAGATTTATCCAGTTAAATGTGTACATACGCTGACCGTGACAGTTTTTGCAAGACCATACTCATTTACAAATTGAACCCTGGGAGCAACAAGGTTAAGATGCGCACCAGGTGAAAACACAAAGTTCTTGAAAAATGTCACCTTTCGCAGGAGGCCTGGATGAGGCTCTTTACACCATCATAGACACTTGTCGTGAACAGGGGGTGCCGTTCGTGTTTGCCCTCTCCAGGAAAGCTTTGGGTCGCTGCGTCAGCAAGGCCGTGCCTGTCAGCCTGGTGGGCATCTTCAACTATGATGGTGCACAGGTGGGAAATATGTTCAGCAGTAATGCATACTAATCACTAACAAAACAGTTGTTTTAGACATGAGAATTTGTATTTTTAATAAATATATTTCAAAAAAGATGAGAAGTTTGTCTTTCTTACCCACAGGACTTCTATCATAAGATGATCGAGTTGTCGTCTGATGCCAGGAGAGCCTATGAGGTGATGGTGTCAAGCCTGGAGCAGACAGGCCAGGTAGATGCAGAGGAGGCGGTGGACATTGAGGAAAAGCTGCAGATCAGCAGCCTGTCTGAGGAGGCTGAGCCCGGTCCTGACACCACACAGCCAGAGGAACCAGAGTACAGTGAGTTACCGTCCTCACCCAATATTTATACACCTGCTCTTTAAATTAATGTGGTCTTATGAGGTGAAACAAAGGGAAAGCTGTGATTTGACCAGTTCCATTTGTAAGTAAAGATGTTAAAGAGTTGGAGCATACAGAAATATATTTCCCCATTGAAAGTCAAGTCAAAGTCAAATAATTATCTTTCTGTATTTGTTCTTCCAGTAAAAATTTGGAAGAAAATGTTGGAGAAGGATTGCAACCACAAATTTCTGAACTTTGAGGAGCAGTTGAGCTCCATGCACTTGGACAGTGTATGTGCTGAAAACACTGATGAAGATGACAAGAGTTGACAGTGGCGAATCCCTCTGTGCCTAAACAATGAATGAACCCACTCTCGCTGATCACCAGCTTAGAAGACACTAGAATGGAGTCAACCCCACGTGCACATAATGCAAACTGCTCCGCTGCAGTGGTTGTCAACCTGAAGATTTTTGTCAGGGAATTAATTATGTTGCTAAAGTTTACAATGAATTATTAATTTTTATTTTTTATTGATTGAACTTAAACAAACAAAAAATAAGACATCAAGCTTAAGTAATGTTTCTGTGTTTTAGTTCAAGATAATTGGGCAAAGCTACTTTAAGAGTGTGTGTGGGTTATAAACTGGAGAGGTTTAATCAGGACTAAACCACTCACCTGAAGCAATCCCACAATATGAATCTTCAACCAAGTTGTCAGTGATCAAGACTAGAGGATGTGCAGGGGTTTATGTACTGAATTTATGTACAATGTCAACCAGCTACACAGTACGAAGACATTCTCAGCAAAGCCAATCTGGTGCATTTTTGTTTTTATCTAATCAATTCAGTTAAGTTTAAAGTATGTAATGTTTCTGGCATCTTTTTGTCCCCAGAAACATTGCAATTACTCTACCTGGTCAGGGCTGATATGGGCTCAATAAAAGGGCCAATACGATTTTAAGTTTGTAAAATGATGGTTGTATGTCACCCTTTGTAAAACTGTGGCGGAAAACAAACCTGTGAGAAGTGTGCATCCCAAAACAGTGTACTCTATAGTATCTTTATTTGTTGATGTTAGTACACGAGAACAACATTCTAAACCAATTTATCCTAACAAGAAATTATAAAATACTTGTGCTGTCGGGTGTCAATCAAAATGTAACTTTAAAAAAGCCACTATTTAAGTTTTTAGATTTCCTCTGAGTTTCACACGCAGGTTTTTTGTTTTGAATCTGCACTCGGATGCTCTCTAAACCACTTGTTTCAGTGTTTGTGTAACCTTACTGTGGAAACTAATTTACTAGTTTTTCACAGATTTACAAAGGGTGATAGACTTCACAAGCTCAACATCTCAGTGAACCGTATTTGACCCACAGTCTTAAACCCCTTGGCCACCATGACATGTATTGTTGAGTTTAGAGTTGAACATGTTTTTTACTTTTTATCCTGATTGCACTACCTAGTACAGCCTGTGTGTTTTTTTTTTTTGTTTTTTTTTTTTTTAATTTGTATTATTTGTTTGAGACTACCAAAGTACTGAACATGTCATGTAGTACTACCTGTGATTGGTGTAAATGGTAGTATTTGATTTTCTTTTAATAGGAAAAAGAGCAAAATAATGTTAAGAAACATTAGCTGCTGTTTACTTGACTTAGTTAAAAAGCTGTTCAGTGATTTTGTTTTTGTTGATCCACATAGTGAGGAATAAGAAACTATAAAATAGTACAATGATAAAACAAATTACAGTAATTTAAAGTGCTAGGTGGCAATATGCATTAAGAAAAGCAATAGATTACAATTTGAAATGGACAAAATGAATTAACAGTCAGATCTCAGAGGACTGAGATGAAGTTTGTAGAGGAGGGAAGACATGATTGTAAAGATCACATGTGGTAGTGAATCTTATTATTGGAAGTTTTTATAGGTTTGGGTTAATGCAAGATGGACCTACTAACATGCTAAAGTCTCGATACAATTCTACAGGAAGCAGGACGAGGATGGTTGTTAAGAAGTTGACAAGTTATTTTGACATGTTACGCCAGGAAAAGCACACATGTGACTAATAGCATTAATTATGTCCCGCTATTCAAAAAGTCTCTCTACACAGTCTTTCATTTCATGTGAATCTTACAGCAAAACTTTGACATTTTGGGAAATGTGTTCATCTGTTTTCTGGTTGAGAGTTGGATGAGAAGATGATACCGCTGTCATATCAGCGACGTCCACTACAGCCAGCAGCTGGTTAGCTTAGCATAATACTTGAATGTCATTTGTTTTATCAGAGCAAAACAACTATTTGTTGGTTTGTGGGGCGTTCATGTGCTAGAGTATTTCTGGGCTCTTAGCGGTTACAAATCACTATTTTCTGTAAAAAAGAAATTATTCCAAGAAAAATACTCCCCATAAAATGGTGAATTGTTTTTTATTTTTCTCTTCGGATCGAACAAATGAGATATTACTTGTTAATTAGCTAGCTTTAGGTGGCCATCATACAGAAATGTGATAGGGATCAATTTCCTCATCTAATTTACCACCAATAAGTGAATAAGAGTATTTCCCAAAACTTTCTTTAAATGCTATACAATGGTTCAATATGTTCTGTGGTAATGAGACCAAACTGTGAAGTAATAGGAATTTAAAAATGCATGAAGATTTGAAACAAAGGAAGTAAGATGAAAACTAATGTAAAGATATAATTCCTGATTTAGCTGTTTTATAAATCCTTGAATATAAACTCTGAATGTAAGATGGACTGTAGGCTGTATTTCCTAGGACAACAGAGATGCAACCAATTGTTGCATGTTAACTAGGAAAGTAAAATCAAAGGACAATTTGGAGTTGATTCATTTTCTTCAAGCAAAATATCAATGTAGTGTCTTCATAAAGAGGACAAATGCAGTGTTTACTTTCAGTGAGTTTGGGTCATTAATAAACAACGAAAAACGAAGCAGATATAGATTGTTTTGGTAATTGTAAATGATTAACATTTTGTCAATGGATATTACAGACGATTGAATTTTCACCTGAATAAAGAATCTTGGAAAATATTTAAAGTTTTATCTGAAAGTTACTCAAACATTTTGTTTATTTAGGTGAAAGAAAATAAGAAACATCTTTCATGAGATCACTTTTAAAACCATAGTTCATAAATAGACCAGAAATGCATGTTTACTCTTAAAGCAACTGTCAAACCGAGGCAGCCAAAATAATCCAGGGTTCAAACTGCACTATGCAAAGGGCCATTCAACACCAGACGCACTGCTTAAAATGTACAATGTGCAAACATTTTGAAATGCCATCCGCTATAAAATACTCATGAGATGTCACCTGTGTCAACACATTTGAATTCTCTGACTAATACTTTACTAAAGAGGGTTTATTTTTTAATCCCTTGTATTGTGCGATATAAAGTCGCCTCTAGACTTTTGGAATGAAACTCAATATGTCAAATGAGTTTTAGGAACAATCATTCTTTTAAAAATCAGTTGCCTTTTTAAGTATGTTGCAGAATTAGTAAAGAGTTTAGTTGACTCGTCTACTATCATGTTTATGTGCAGTCGCAAACGGATCCAGCGTTTAGGAGGAGTTTGCAAAAATGTGTTTTTCACTAAATTCAAAATGGCGGAACATTTTGGGAGGCGGAGTTTAGGAGTCTTTTTGACTTTTGTCGAGCAGATAGAACTTGACGTGTGTTGAATTTCAAGTCAATCAGACATACGGGGTGAGGGGCGTGGCCTTTCAAAGTTAAAATCAGCTCTAGGGGGCACTATAGAGCCGTTCTTTCATACCCAAATGCGAGACACCTAAAATATCAAATGTTTCACCAGTCCTGATATGCATGTCAAAATTGGTATGTTTTTGAGCACGATAAAGCCAATAAATTTGGCAGAAGAAAAAGAAACGCTACAGTTTCAATAGGGCCTTCGCTGGCATGACGTTGTCGGTGCCCCAATCATTTCACTAATCTCTTTTTAGTCTCAACAAATCCAATGCAAGAAAACCAAAACCAACACATTAATTGATCCTGCAAACAAGAATCCTACTAACGCTTAATCCTCAGTACTGTAAAGCTCCATTGTTAGCAAACAAGACTCAAGGCGTTGAGAGGGGCTTTGTGATGCCAGTTAATGTTTACCCTGTTAGCATGCTAACATTTGTGAATTGGTAAAAACATGCAGCTGAGGCTGATGGGAATGTCACTTTTTTTTTTAGGTATTGGACAAATTGAAATATTGACATGATGATGCTGCCAGATGATGGTATTTATATATATATATATTAGGTTTATGTAGCAAATTTCACAACAACACATTCAGTACATGTCAAGAAATTTAACTCAAACCAACTAGAACTACCGCCTCGCAAGTGTATGCCTCTGCATACCGGTCATGGTGCAGTCTACATCCATATCTATCCAAAACGTCTGTCCAAAAACATAATTTTATTAGACCTTTGTGTGAAAATGTCACAAGCATATGAAATTCTTGCATTATGGCACAATACGTGTTTTGTGAGGTCACAGTGACCATTGAACACCAAATTCTAACCCGTTTAACCTTGAGTGCAAGTGGACGTCTGTGCCAAATTTGAAGAAATACACTGAAGGCCTTCCTGAGATATCGCGTTCACGACAATGGGACGGACAGACAACCCGAAAACATAATGCCGCCGGCGCGGAGGCATAAAAATGTCAACCTCATGGTGGTGCTAGAGGAAAAGTCACATGATCACCGAAGTCATTCCGATTCATCCTATGGAGAACAAAATGTCTACTAAATATCATAGCAATTCATCCAATATTTGATGATGGATGGATGGCATCTACATATCCGCGTTCGATGAGTTCTGTGCACATATTGGGTTTTCTTGTCTTCTGAAGGGCACAGTCTGTGTAATGGTTAACCTTCTCTCTACTGGAAGTGTCAACTGACGCATGTTGTGTCTGCAGGATGACCATGTTGTCATTGTCCACCTCCTTCACCCTGCTGTAGTCCTCTGGTATGTTCACTGGTATCTGAACATCAATGTAGCCAGAGCTCTCAAATGGGATGTTTTCTTTCTCGTAGATGAGAATATTGTCACCATTCACCACTTCCACTCTGCTGTAGTTCACCTGTTTCACATCCACCACCTGTATGTTTTCCGCATGTCCCTGAATATCCACATAACCTCTGTTTGTGAAGGGTTTGATGGTGTTATCGCCTTCAAAGCTATCCATTTCATTATTTCTTTTCTCAGCCTTTTCCCAGTTATTTTGGCATGGTGTTGTCTCCTCATAATAGATTTTTTCCAAGTCTAATTTGAAGCCAGTGGGAATAATGAAGCTTTTCTTCATTTTTTGAGATTTGGAGGGAAGCCCATCGTCATTTTCAGTCACAATTAGGTACTCCTCCATTTGGTCTTTCCAGGCCCCGATAGGAGGAAAGCTCTGGTTGACCATCAGGGCATTGTCGACATCTTCAGATCCCCCACTCTGGAAGTTAACAGTTAATCAATTCAATTATGACCTGACCACTATCAAGTCCAAAGCAACTTTTTGGATATGTTGAAGAAAACACAGCAGATTCAGCGTTACCTGGAAAAGTTGACCGTCAACACCTCTTATCTTTGGACCAGGAACAGGGGGCAGAACACACTGCTTCACACTGGAGATCAAAAGAAAGTGAATCATGAGTCAAACTATCATCATCTTGACTATGAATAAGGAGTTATGTATATTTTTTGCGGGATATACGTACGATTTCCTCTTCATTACCAAGACACACACTGCTGTTATAAATGGAATTGCAGAGAGGATAGAAACCATTATCCAAAATGGTCTCTCATTCTGATGATCTAAATATAAAATATAAAAAGCATTTTTAGTGATTATTAGTACTCGTTGCTACCTATAAAGCCAAAGATCTTCTGCAACAAGCTTCTGAGACTTACAGTGAGGGATTTTCACACAGGTAGAGTTGCTCCACTCACTCCAGGAGCCGTGGTCTAGTCTGCAGCGCACCTGAACCGTGTACACCACCCCAGGACTGATGCTGTACAGGCTGAAATGAGATTGTGTACCTGACGTGTACTCCTAGAGAAAAAAACAAAAACCATGTTGACCTCTTACCCAGATTAGGATCACATTTGGGTCAAACAGTAGTTGCAAATACATTTCTTTTACCGGAATTACGGTACACTGATTTAGTGATATCTCATTTTTTTTACTGACCTGATAATTTAATACAACATTTCAAACTCACCGTCCACTTGTTGCTGTTGTCTTGTCGGACTCTTAGTTCATATTTCAAGGTGACCCAGCCGGACTTGGTGTCGGTGTTAGAGGGAGGCTCCCATCTGACGTGAAGGTATGGACTGTCCTCTCTCTCCTCCACCAGCAGCGTCACATTCTCAAGAGCATCGGGCTTCACTGTCGAGACAGAACCATACTAACATCAGCATAATATGCTCACATTGACGATGCTTACATGTTGATGTTTAACAGGTATGATGTTTATAATTTTCACCATCTTTCTTTAGTTTGCTAACATTTTTAAAATAGCACTAAAATCAAAGTATTGCTGAGGCTGATGGTAATGTCATTAGTTTGATATCTGACTGTCATAAACCAAAGTATTGGACAAATTAAAAACTTGTCCTGATGATGGCAACAGCCGAAAAGTCAGGGGATCCCCAAAGTGATTACAATTCTTCCTGAGACGGACACGAATGTCTGGACTAAATTTCATAGCAATCCGTCACGCGGGGGCTCGTGCATTAGATCCTGGGCCCTAAAGTGTCTACAGGGTTACTGGAGGCAGTGGAGTTACTATTTTGTCACATGGGACAGGACTCCGCTCCACATGTAGGCGATCGTAAGTACAGTACATGATGATCACATGCACAGCTGCCTGCATAACCAAACAAAAGCAGCTGTGAAATTTGATCCGAGACTGTACACAAGTTTTACACAGGGCAAAAAACCAGTTCCGCCTCATTCTGTACAGGTTTTAATTTGTACTTCGTGTCCCCCACTCCGTACTTTAGAAGGCACAGCCAATAAAACTGTGGCAATCATCAGCTGAATCATTACAGATAACTCTCTGCTGTGTGCCATCTTCTACTCTAATTAATAAACATAATCCTTTTTTGGGGAGGGAGTAACAAAATTTACCAATTTCCATCACGTCCGTCTTAAAGGGCTCTGAAGTGGCATTCCCGAGTGCATTGGAGGCCATCACTGTCAGGTGGTAGTCGACCCAGATGGAGGTGTGTTCCTTATCAAAGAAACAGGAGTTTCTTCCTGCCGACCGATAGTCCGGACACTCGTACGTTCCCTCTAACCTGTACGAAGACAAAACAAGACCTTTACTGACCAGCAAACACTGCTCAGGGCATTTTGCTTACATGCATATACGACAAAGTCAGCATTGTAAAACTGTGCTGTGGGCAGTCAACACATGGTGACATTCAATAAACAAGCACAGGGCTGGACTGATAATGAGACAAGACTTAGGTGTGTGTGATGTCCACGTAGTTTCCTCACTGACCACTGCAACATGATAACAAATGTCATAATGACCAAACTTTACATTTAATGTATTATAGCTCTGTGAGGCCATACCGAGGCACAGATGAATATTGACAGCAGCTTGCTAGCATGCTCACATTTAAAACGCTAACATGCTGATGATCAGCACTAAACAGAGTTGAGGCTGATGGGAATGACATAATGGGCATAAACCAAAGAATTAGTCAAAATCAATGGTCAGGTCAGGGGATCACCAGCAGAGGATTCATCCTCTGGGGACCTTGACTGTGTGTAAAATGTTTATGGCAATCCATCCAGTAGTTGTCAAGATATTTCAGAGTGAACCAAAGTTGGACGAACCAACTGACGCTGCCGATCCTTGAAACTATTGGTGATGAATTCAGTTTTGGGATTTTTCCCCCAGGCCACTGCCAGTAAAGGTCACACAGGTGAAGAGTTTGAAGTCTGCAGGTTTTCTTACACAGCATGTGGGAACAAGAGAGCCGGTATTTTTCCACTCACCCGCATACAATATTACATAACTGATAACTCAGCAGCAGAAGCTTTACCTTTACTTTCTCTCAGTGTTGGTGATAAACTCTGAGACTTAATGGGGCATCTGGTGGCCGAGAGGTTAAGACAAAACACTGTGACTGAAACCGTGGTTCTAGTTTTTGTTATGTGTCATTCCCCTGTTTCTCACTCTCACTCACCCTTCCTGCATCTCTACAGTGACCTGTTGAATAAAAGCAAAAAAAGAAATTCCCCAAATGAAATTTAAATTCAAAACACCTTTCTCTCTCGTAGTACAGATGGTGGGAGGTGGGCAGCCCTCCATCAGAGCCCGGCTCCCACCAGCAGGTAAACGTTTCCTTCTCAGGGGACCTGCAGCCGAGCAGCACTGGTTTCCCTGGTGGAGACATGCCTGGCAACACATGTGACGAACAAACGTCAGCTCCTAATCCACAATTTAGCACTAATATAATAAAAAAGAGAAACGTTGGCAGGATTTAAACAACGCGTTGAACCTTAACTTTGATGGTAGCTACACTAGATAGATTGTTTTGTTTTTAACTGCCCTGGTTTTGAAGTATGTGTATCTAAGATTTCTTCATCCACCCCAGTTCATAAAGGTTGATTTTTTTTAAATAAAAACATTTTCTTTGAGCAGTGATGTAAATTTAATTTTTCAGTGCTGTGAACACGAAAGACATCTCAAAGGCAGATCTCCAAACCAAGACATATAAAACCAAAACTACCTGCAATTCTAGGTTTATTAGACATGTTGTTAGAAGCCAAAGACAATGCCATTCAAGCCTTTCAACTTACTGTTGGACTCTACAGCTGCAGACAGCAGCAAGAGCAAAGCCACCCCAAGATCTCTCCTCATCCTGGGACCAACTTGTCTGTCACACTGTGTGGCGTGTCATCCCCAGCTCGTGGTTAATGAGGTAATAGAAACCGCGTGTGTTGTTTTGACCTAAAACAAGGAGATGTGAAGGGAAAACAGAGAGCACAACCAATACATGTTGTAGCTGACAACTGTGGTCATTGCATGATAATGTAATAATGTAACTACAAAGAATATGTAAATGTAAAAAACAAACCTTGTATCTTCAGTTCAGGGATAAATACTTCATCTCCCTCACTATTGTTGCTCTCTGAAATCACCCAAATAAACTTTAGGTCAATGTTATGTACTTCCTTATCCCAAGGAGCTCATATTAATTCAGATCCACTGACTCTGATAAAGATCAAACACTTACACACACACACACACACACACACACACACACACACACACACACACACACACACACACACACACAGACTTATGAATCAGCAGAAACGCAACCGAATCCTATGATGATCTCTTAAAAACTGCTGACTACAGGTTCATTTTAAGCTGTTTATTCAAGTTTTTTCTGTTCTGTTGTACAAAATAATAAAAAATGACACTACAATCCAATATTTCACCATATATGTCCTCAGAAAATGTTCCAACACACGCCATTAAATATAAGTTGAGAATTACACACTCAGTAACTCAAGGGCAGTACGCCCGATGCATATATCATTATATCATCAAGTTTTTGCATTTCATTGCATCACTATGTTGTGTTTAGTGCGAGCATACTCACAATATAACTAATTAAAATAATTACCATTCCAAATTGCTAAACATAAATGAAGATAATTACAGCTCTGGTGTTCACTCACCTACCCAGGACGGGTGTCGACTCTCACTACATTTATCCTCAGAGAGTAGGTCAGGACAATGAAGTCCTCTTCCTTCATCATAAGACCACAGGTGTTATCCGATGCGATGTGACGCGACCTGAGGAAGAGAGACGTCCTCTGAGTTACGAAGGGGAGGGATTCGTGTCGTCACGACTGGCCCACTTGAGTACAGCCAAAGATCACAGCCGCATCGAGATGTCTCTCACTTTTGACATTACAAACAATCTTACTTACAGAAATGCAGAGTTTTGTTGTTCGCAAAGCTTTTTTTAAAAACTTGAATTGGCAGTCCTTTTAACCATCGAGTTTTTATTTGTTTATTTGTACCAACGTGCTGTCGTTTTGTGAAGAATAAATTGCTCTTAAGTTTTCTTTTGTTTGTCTTCCTAAAATCAACAATAATAGAATAGTGAACTCTCTCTGTATTTTTAAAGAAAATGAAAGACCCACCTTTTTTATCTGGCTTTAAATTTGGAGTATGTTATACCCTTCGTTTTTAAGATTTTAAACATTCTTTTTAGCATTATTCTATACACTACTCTACTGACTTTTATTTTTTTATTTTTAACATTACATTTTTTTTATTGCTGTATTTTTAGTCTTGCAAAATTGTATTTATTGTTGTATATTTATTGTTTATTTTCCTATTTGAAGCACGGGACTGAATGTAGCTAAACAACGACGGACATGGTGACCACTACCCAGAATGCAGTGCGCCAAGACGTCGTTGCCTACTGTTATTTACAGTTATTTATTTGAATACGTTTCCCCTCATCTGAACATTGTTTAAAGTATTGAAGGAATGTAAACAATTGAATGGTGAAATGTATCTTAAACTTTGAATTGTCAACATCAAGGTTCAGTTGTGGAGCATTTCTAGAAAACCTGCAAATGACTATACAATTTGTATTTAAAAATAACGTTTACTTACGGTGTCTTATCTTGACGCATATACAACCTTTGACAGAGGCAGTTAACAGTTACGTGCGTGGGGGGAGAGAAACCAAGTCTGTGTAGTAGGCGTATCTGTATCCGTATCACTTTTACAATTTCTTCCAGGAAGTAGACTTTTTGTCTTGAAGGGAAATGTTGTCAAGTGTAAAACCAGTGACTGTAGTCTGAGAGAAACACGTTGATGGTCACCTGTTCTTGCTGGCCGCCATGTCGGATTCTTTGGACCGGTCCACTAAGATCAACCTGTTGAGGGAGCCGCTTGTGAAGAAGCTCTGTGAGGTGCTGGACAAATCCAGCAATAAAGGATGGCGAAAACTAGGAGAGCTGGTCGGCAACGACAGACGGTTTAAAGTCAGGTAGGCTGACGTTGAGAAGTCAGACTGTAAACTGTATGAAATCACAATGTTATTGTTGTTAAAACAGTATAGTGTGTCTGAGTCCAGTAGTAACGGTACTTTAGTTTGGTGAATAAAGTTAAAGTGAATAAAGTGATGCACTCAATGGCGACATGCTGGATGGTGTTTGAAGCCTTTGAAAAGAAATAGCTATTTCTAAAATATATTCTCACAGGAAGGATGTTATATAGATTATCACAATGTCCTTTCTATAGATACAAAGGATACATTGTGATAATAATAATATAATAACAACAATCAAACTTATATACTATTTACATCTAATTTATGTGTAGAACAGATGAATGAGTGATGCAATTGTAATAGATCTAGGTCTGTTGAGTGAAATAACTTCACACATAACAACAAAAATAGATGTGTGTACAAATATAAACAAGCCTTTTAATAACATCAGGAAATATTATATAGATTTAGTCATTTTCTACTGTTACTCCTCAGTCCTGTGTTGTGAATTTGTGTGCTGGAGCTAATACCCTATTGTTTATTTTGTGATCATAATTGTATCAACAGTCAGGATTACGAGATAAAAAATTTAAAAAGCACTTAAACCCATAAAGCCATCATCATGTCGGTTTGACATCATCATAATGTCATCGAGATACTGTTTATTTTCTGTCCAGCTCTTGCCTGTTTATAAGGACTATATGTTTATGTCTTGATTATCTTCCCCTAAATGCACATAAATATATTGTGAGCCACCGACAACCTGAGGCAAATTCTTGGCCCCAAAAAAGTTGAATCTGATGTGTGAAATATGTCGTTAATGTCCTGCATCGTTCTGCAGCCCAGACGACATGGAGATGTGCTCTCTGAAGGTGCTGGAGCTGGAGGGAAGCCCGAGCCGCACGCTGCTGAGGCTGATGGGAGAGCGAGGCTGCACCACGGGTCACCTTGTGGACTACCTTCAAACTCTGGGCAACTCGGAGGCCCTGCAGTGCATGAAACCATCAGGTACAGTAAAAATACACCCAGGCTTGTTATCGTGTTCTCACATATCCCAAAATATGGAATGAATATGACTCACGTCATGGTGTGGACACTAACAGTATGTTGCCATTCAGTCCATAGTCAGTTTAAAACCAGTGTGACAATTCCCCTAAACGCACAGCCCTGCAGATCCTCATCCAGCCCCAGTCGGTGGCTCTTATATCTGGACACAATCTTCGGCTGAGCTGCCACGCTGTGGGCAAGTCTCCGGTACAGTACCAGTGGTTCAAGACCAATGAAGAGGTGAGCTACGACTCCTCCGCATTCACACACTTCCGACTTCAAAGGAAGTAGTTTGTGATAAACTGCTGAGTTTGTTTATTTGTCGTGGTCATGCTGATATGAGATGTTATCAAAAGGAAGATGCGATCACTATTTTTTGCATCATCCCTTCTTCATTCTTCATACGTTTGTGTTAAAGTTGTATCGCTGTGCATCGGTTTCTCTGAAATGAATTCACTAAAACAGTATTGCTTCAGGACTTGAAAGAAAGTTACAGCTGAAACAAACTGCAGTTAATATGCCAGATTTACAATTCTGTGCTTGAAAGCTTCTTCATCACTACTTCTCTATTTTTCTAGCTCAGAAACTCAAACAATGGCTGCACATTATACTACATGTAGCATCTGTATAAAAACATGATGTTCTGTTATCTAAAATAACCTAAATATTAGAAAAGATCAATATAGATTATTTTGTCTTTCCAAGACGTTCACCTCAATTTTACTGCAATGTAAAAACGTGTGTTGGATGCATGAACTCTGGCCTTCAAAACATGTCTGACTCTCATCCACCCTCCATCCACATACTTTTTATCTACCTGACACTAGATTTCAGTCTTCACATGGGGACCGCTGTTTCTCTTCTAGGACTGTGATAGTGTTACACTTTGCATGTTGGTAAATGTGATTTACATTTTCACAACCTCAGGTGCCGAACAGCTTCTCCTCAGACCTGGTGATAAGTCCAGTCCGTCTGCAGGACGCTGGCTTTTACATCTGCAGGGTCAACTGTGGAGATACTTTTGAGTTCAGCCAGTGGGTTCAAGTGGACGTCCTGAATGTCACCGGGTCATGCGGTAAGATTTTGCAGGTGTTTAAATCTACCTTCTGCTCCGTGTGCGATGTTTCATAAATGCATTTGTTGTTTTACGTGTTTATTAGTCGAAGGACAGGACAAGTGACTCCTGTGGGAATTGAACCCCTGACTCCAGTGCTTTTGCCGTTGAGAATATAACAGATAATATAGTAATGATGTCTCCTCTCCTTCCACTACCAGGGCAGAGTTATCATTCCTTGGAGGGTCGGCTGAAGTTGGTGATCCAGCCTCAGTCCCAGCGGCTGCATATTGGGGAAACCCTGCAGGTGGAGTGTGGAGCCGTGGGGCGGCCGATCCCTCGATACCAGTGGCACAGGAATGGAGTCCCGGTACCCAACGCCACAAAGAGGAAACACATGGTGAGGAGAGGTTGTCAGAGAAAAATGAAGCTGTTACTGTTTCCAAAACTCTACTTCTTGCTTCTTGTTTGGAGGCTTCTAGTTGTCAGACGTTACAAGGCACGAGCATCAGACTTTTCTTTGTGTGTGTGTGTGCATTTCAGATTCCTCACTCGATGCAGGATCACCACGGCAGGTATCGCTGCGAGATCAGCAGCAGCACTGAGAGAATGTGGACCAATGAAGTCGACGTCGTGATCGGTATGTCACACTTCAGTACATTTAGTTTGTGGCGTGATTACAGTCCAGTAAAACCAGCTCTAGTGTTGTCATGTGTTACGAATGATTATTTGCTCTGCTCTTGACTGAAAGCACCGAGGATATCTGTCCAGATTTCAGAGGCAATCGAGTGCTCTGAAGGTAGAGTGGAAAGCACTGGCGCATGGTGTATTAAATGGGGATAGCATAACAATAAGCATGCATGCGCATTTTAATCACAACTCCTTTAACTGCATGTGGGTCATGATCCGGTTTATTGTCACATAAACACTAACTAGCATAAAGTTCCTCGATCTCGAGGTTTCACATGCCTGCATTTTGTTTTGACTTATGTCATTAATTTCAAGTCTGTCTTCTATATTTGTCTTATTATCAACAAACGAAAACACCAAAACCAACAATGAAGTGATCCTCTAACATAATCCTGGAGTACTGTTTGTTTAAAAAATGGTTCAATGTGTTGAGGAGGAACTCGTGGACAGTATTGAGAGACGGATTAACCAACTGTTGCTTTTGTCGTATTAATGGGATTTGTTGATAATAAGGAAACCACAGAATAACACCACCTTTAATCTCTAGATTAAACATAATACTTAGTTGATTCAATTGCATGACTGTGAAGCTAACCTTCCCTTTGACTAATCCTTCTTTCCTGAATTAATACAATGTCTTTCCAACGTAGACGTAAACATGCTCATTTTATATGATGGTAACATGTTTGTCTTACTGATTTCTAGATGATGTTTACGCCATCAGAGGAGGTAAGAGTCATCACACTCATCAAGTAATTATACATATCCATTTCTCTCACACAGAACTTGCTATGATATGCTCTTTTTATTTTGACATTGCAATTTTAGGATCCAGCGACTTTTTCCTGAATAATGTCCCAGATCAACTTCATGGTGAGTGTCCTTTATCACATCTTTATGCAGGAGTTGGTGAAAAATGTGTTAAAATGTGATCACCGAGTTCTCTGCTGTAGTTTAGTAATTGATATGTCTGATCCAGTTTCTCCACAGTATATGTCAACTGTGTCGCTGTTGTGTCTGATACGATCACGGTCTTTGTTCTGATCTGCCGTCAGTTCCTCTCTCAACATGAACACCAAAATAAAGATGTGATAGCTTTCTCTAATATTTGATGTCAGCAGCTAAACATGAACAAAAAAAACACTTTACAGCATAATAAAATCCAACAACACCAGATAATTAAACCTCTAAAAAATACCAACAGCATTTAATCAACATCTTCTTCTCAAAGACTTGAGTTGTTGTCCCCTCTCACAGTGTAACAGTACGGTTCTCTCCCCTCACAGCAACCGACAAAGTGGCCCTGCTGATCGGCAACCTGTCTTACCAAAACCACCCGCAGCTCAAAGCTCCCATGGTGGACGTCTACGACCTCACGAACCTGCTGCGGCAGATGAACTTCCAGGTGGTGTCACTGCTCGACCTCACAGAGTCGGAGATGAGAAACGCTGTCGAGGAGTTCCTGTTGCTGCTTCACAAGGGAGTCTATGGTGCGTTGAGACTTTGACATACCCGTGGATTGTTCTAGATTGCGCTAGAACCAGAAATGCTCACATGAATTGTGTTGTTGGTCGATTGAAATACTCACTTCCCTCCTTTAGGTCTGCTGTACTACGCTGGTCACGGATATGAGAACTACGGCAACAGCTTCATGGTGCCGGTAGACGCACCAAACCCGTACCGGTCGGCCAACTGTTTATGTGTGCAGAGCATCCTGAAACTGATGCAGGAGAAGGAGACGGGCCTCAATGTTTTCCTGCTGGACATGTGCAGGAAGAGGTGAGTCAGTGGGTCATTCCTGTGAGTTTATTACATTTTAAATGTTACAAAGAGAAGTTAAGACTGCGTGTAGGTGTAAGAGTGTTTGTTATTCTCTCCAGTATTTATCTATCGCCTTGGTTTGTATCTTTTTTATCTTTCCAGGAATATTCACGATGACAGCGCTCCAAACATTGTTCTGAGGGTCACAGCAAACATCGTCTTTGGATACGCGACGTAAGTTTGAATCATCGAAATGTATGTCACACTTTTTTTTGTTTTCAAGAGTATCTAAAATGTTTGGTTCTTCGATTTCTGGCTGCTCAGGTGCCAGGATGCCGAGGCCTTCGAGCTGAGCTCCAGCGGCTTCACCAACGGTGTGTTTGTCAAGTTTTTGAAGAAGCGGCTCCTAGACGATGAGAAGATCACTGTGGTGCTGGACAGAGTCGCTGAGGGTGAGAGAGGAAGAGAAACACAAGAGATGACGACACACGTAGCTACTGATGTAGATGACGATATATGTAAAGGATAGCTTTTAATATTTTGTGGAGGTGATACAGTCAACACAGGCTGTTGAACATGTGATTTATACTTTTTCGTGTCCAGACATGGGTCAGTTTGACGCTACGAAGGGAAAGCAGGCTCTGGAGATCCGCAGTAGTCTGTCAGAGAGGAGAGCGCTGACTGATCCTATCCTGCCCGGCGACAGTGCCGATCTCGCTCACGCTCACAGCCTCCAGTGGGCAAAGGCTCACGGTGAGTAGACAACGCAAAATTGACTTTTTAAATGTTTGTTTAGCACTTGTTGTCACTGTGCTGGGAAGCCCCCATTAGCTCACTGCAGCTCTATATTGCACGCTCAGTCAAATGTTGACTTTGGTTGATGTTGATTAAACACACAGTGCTCCCTCTGTTATACAAACCTGCACACATGGAGGGCTTCCCAAGACAACGGCACATGTCAACTTGTGACCCTCTTATCACAGGTTATGGCCTCAGTTATGAACAAACAGTTCAACCAAAGACTTATTTTTCCTTCTCAGATTATTTATTTTGAGAGATTTTTAGAGATCCAGCATTTCACAAGAAAATGTTGAGAAAAGTCAGAGAAATTGAATGAATTTTTTTTTTTTTTTTTTATCGTATTCCTGAAATCATCGATATGATTTATCTTGAGGCAGGTTGGGGGACCACGACCCTCAGGTTGGGAAGTGCTGCTGTATATGATTTTAAGGTTCAGGGACTTTTATTTTTCCTTTTGTGACTTTTTGTGCAAATTAACATGCAAGTTTAGAAGTAACTCACCATTTCTGAGCTAATGATTTAAGAAAATATTCTATTCAGCGCCTCTACTGGATGTGCAGGCAAACACGAGACACTGAAGTTAAACAAACACACACAAAGTGGATGTGTCTTATGATAAATCAATAAATATAAGTTATTCCTTAGAACCCTGTTACAAAAAAGACAATTTAAAATGACACTACATGAGAGCTTTTGAATGGAGCATGAAGAACAGCTGACTTTTTTTTAAATCAATCGTAGAACTTGAAATGTTTGTTTTTTCTTTGTTATTCCAGAGCTCCCTGAGAGTATGTGTCTCAACTTTGACTGCGGGGCTCAGATCAAGTTGGGCTTTGCTGCAGAGTTCTCCAACGTGCTCGTCATTTACACTCACATCGTTAAGAAGCCAGAGGACATGTCCTTCTGCCAGGCTCACGTCACCGACTTCTCGCAGGTTAATATGTTGTCATGAACACTGAATATTAAGAAAGAAAGAGCAGGAAATTGATTAGAATTTACTTTTTCCCTTCAGACTTGAGGGAACACTAAATAGCTGGGCGTGTGCATATATGTTTGTGAGTTTGTGCAAACTGTAATCTGCCACCTGCTTCTTTTCCTCACTGCAGGACCTTGATGTTGATCCTAAAGAGATGAACAGAGAGACTCCAGAGGAGACGGGGATCTACCTTCTGTCCAGCAACCTGCCGCAGCACTGCCTCTACACCAGAGTCAGCTCACTGCAGAAGCTCAGGGTAAAAACTCAACAAGGCCTTCTGGCATTAAATACTGTGTTTAGCCTAAACTCTTTATAAGCAGTACAACAGCTATTTTGGTATTTTTCAGTTTCTCACAAAAAAATATGAAGGTTTTTTTAACGTGCAGAAGGTTTATATTTGTTTTTCTTCGTTCCTGTTAGGAAAGCCTGTTGTCTTATGATTAAGTAATAAGACTAAGAGGCTTTAGTGTCATTTGTGTTGCAGGTTTATGAACTTAAGTAATGTAACCTGAACTGTCTGTACCTAATTTTGTGCCGATCCATCCGACCTGCTGGGGGCACTAGATTAAAAGTCAGGGGATCACCAAAGTCGGTTAGATTCATGCTGTGGGCTCCATGAATGTCTGTACGAAATTTCACAGATTTGGTCTGACAGAAAGACCGACTCTGCAAGAACTACTCTGCTACCGTGGCTAAAAAAGTTTTAGGCAATAATTTACTTCTCATTCCTTCATTCGTGTTCAGAGAATACATGTTCATCCTGGAAAGTATTTTGTTAAGTTACACATTGAATTTCTTAACACTGTTTCTCTTCTAACCCCACTTCCAACAGGAGGAGCTGGTCTTCACCGTGTGCCTTCAGGGCACCTTCACCGCCATGGATGACGAATCCGTCCACTGGACCAAAAGCATCAACATTGGCAAGCCGCTGATCGCCCGACTGGACCTGAACCGGGCCGTGCGGCGAAATAGCTGCCTGCAGACCTGCATGATGCCCCACAGCCCGTCCCACAGCCCCTGCCACAGCCCCGGGCCCGAACACCACCTCCACCTCCATTACAAGTCGCACCAGGCCCAGGACTACAACCGCCTGTCCCCGCAACACCACTACCTGGACGTCTGTGAGTACCAGGGAGCAGCGGGAGGCTGTGGGGTTTCCTTCTACGACAACGTCGGCCAATCTCGCTGTGAACCTGCGTACGACTCGGCTGGTGGGCTTTCAAGCTCACCGGGGAGGCTCAGCATTCCAATAGAGACCACCGACGACATCTACGAGCTGCAGACTGTGTTCATCAACAGTCTGCAGCTTCAGCAGCAGTGAAAGCTTTAAAGGTCTAACATTGTATCTGGAATACTGCTGCTCTTTCTGTTACATGTTGTGACTTAATAGCATTTTTTAGAATATGATATTCATCCAGTTATCAACAAGAAGCCGTATACTGACTTTTATACTAGAGTTTTAAAGAACAGTGTAAATACATGTTAGGAAGACTGAAAAAGTGTACTTCAGTAAACTTGGATAATTGAGGAGTCGATCTGCCAATATTTATCTCAGGAATAGCAAAGATACTGGATGGTAACTGTCAAGATCAGACATGACTTTTCACAGCTGGAATTGTACCTCTTACAGATGTTTGTTTAAGAATATGAGCTAAATGTGGACAGATGGAAGTGGCATTAAAGATTAAGAAGATAAGGGCTGTAGCAATCTACACATAGCAACATCTGTTCATGTAACTAGTCTAAAAAATGTTTTGTAGTCGGAGGAAATATCAAAGACGTTTTGTAATATAATTAACCAGAGGAGAGAAAGTGATCATTAAAAACAATCCATCAGATTAAAAACCTCAAGCCACTTTCCACACCGTTATCGTTCTTCTGTTTTTCTGTCTTATCCCCCTCAGGATGTCAGTAGAAGGCCTCTCTGTGAGGACTTACCTCCACCAGCTGCCTCTCGTTCTCTTCTCCCAACTCTCTGGATCTGTCTGCTGCACCTAATGTCAGCAGGTCCTCTTATATCCTTGTTTAGTCTCAATCTGCTCCTCGGTGAACTGTGAAACTTTCCAAAAGAGTTCCACTCGGTGATTTTCGTGCTGGGAATTAAAGGCACCGTTCACTTTATTATCCCCGACAAGTTCATTGTAGCTACTTCTGGATTGTCCACTGCACACTTCATTGAACTTATTCCTGAGGTTTCGTTTGAGTTCAGCATTTGTAACATGTGAGAAGGTCACTATGAGAACCTTAATGGGCCGGTAGGCACAGACAAAATGTGCTGCTCCACAGTCATACCATGGATTCATTTCTCCATGAGACAATGTGGCACATGCAGAATTAATCTCCTATCATAAGAAACCACGATACGTGTCTGTGTCAAACGCTGCAGGATACAGCATGAGCAAAATAAATGGCTCCACCCTTTTTTGCTTTTCACGCAGTATTTATTATTTATGTCAGAGGAACTACTTCTTCAGAAACGAGGAGGAAAGTGGTGAAAAGGAAGTTGACAAATAGCGTAAAGGCAGAATGGAAATGTACCAATGTGGACAGAAAAGAGAATGGTACAAAAACAATATATAACAATACAACTTAATTGAAGGAGGATGTGTGATGTAGAGAGAACAGTGTACTTTTTTAGCCTGTCACAGGCTAGGTATTGAATGAGGGTGTTTAAGTCAGTGTTATTATAAATATTGCTCATGGGGGTTGTTTCTAGGGCTGGAGTATACACACAAGCAGAAGCACTGAGTTACTCAAGTAGATGTAAAATTATTTTTGTTGAAATCTGCTCTAGAAAATTGTCTCTTTTGACATCTACTTGCTTTTACGTAGAGTACATCATCTAAAATCTACTTCAGACGAAAATTTTGGTTTTGGAGCATGTTCAAAAAAGCTCAAATGTATGAAAAAACAAATCAGCTCCAGTAGCAGTCGCTGTGTTTTCCACTCATGGCTGTTTTCATGAGGGCGGGCAGGTCGTGTCCTCTCACATAACACCATCGGGCACCTTGCAGAAAGCTCCCACAGTAGCAACATAATAGCAGAACATTTTATTCACACAGAGCAAACATTAAGCTTCAAAGCACAGGAGTGTTTATTTCAGCATGTTCTGCTCATGCATAGCAGTGCAGGACAGTACACTGCAACACGGTATGGAGATATGAACCCTGTCTGATTGAATAATGGATGGAGGGTGATATCATAGCTGCGTCACTTGTGCAGCTGAGGGAGGAGGGGTGGGTGGGTGGTGTTTTTTAGACGATGCAGCAGGCAGAGAGAGGAGTTAGAAACCTGCCTGCAGAGAGGACAGAGGGATAATAATCATGTCAGCCTCCTGGAAGCAGCTCCTTTTTCAGATCCTCCTCCTCCTCGTCTCCTGCAGACGCATCAATACAAGTAAATGACTGTTTGGGTTTCATTTTGGCTGAGTGCGGTTGTGTTAAAACCTTTTTCTGCCTTCTCATTTCCCCATTAACTGATCTGTAACCTTGGGGGGAGTTGGAGAGAATGTCATTGGATTGCCACACCATCATGTGTATCCCCTACTGTATCCATCACATTTTGGATTGTAAGTTGCAGATAGTCGATGTTTATTTTTTATTATATCAGACTGAAACTACTCTGAGACAGCATTTACATTGTAACAGGACCCTGAAACTCTACATTAAAACCAAGAACATTTACCTATTAAAGAAAATACAAAAAATAATTTAAAAGAGTTTATATAACTGTGGCAAATTTATAATCACATTTTTAATGCATTATGTTTACTCATCGTACATTTACCATTTCCTTTGGCTAAACTCAGTTCCCTTTAATGTTAAGATTAAAGGTTTGAAGATTATTTATTTTAAATAGCACCGTTTTATAATACCACTGCAAATTCAAAGAGGATAACTTTTTTGATCTTATTTTGTCTTTTTCTCCTGCCATTAAGATATATTAATTAATTTTTTTAGTTTAGCTTATATATATTTTACCTTCATCATTTTGAGTCAACAATAACTTTGGGCTGCACCTCTTTGTATAAAAAGTGCAATGTGAAGATTTTCAATGCATATCAAGAACACAGAATTACCATTGCAACCACCTAATGCAATCTACCAACCACAGAGTGCAACCTAACAACCTGCTAATGCAACCTAACAACCTGCTAGTGCAACCTAACAACCTGCTAGTGCA